CCAAAAGTTGATGTCAAATCAAGATTCAAACATTGTTATTGAGGATGATTATTGGAGTTTAAATGATGAAGATTTAAATACAATCTTTGAATTTTGAATTGTGTGAATTTATGACCTTTGGCCGTGGTCTTTGTGTAATTCTTTAGTTTATATGGCATGCTGCAATTTCATATTTCAAAAGCACATAAAAAAAATGGTGACTATCACCAATAGGAGTTGGGTTTAGCGGAAGGGGCTAGTTTCTCGTGACATGATAAACCAAAGTTCAAATCTCCACTAGAAGAGTGTTAGCTCGCAAGGCGCATTAGAGATGTGAGGTCTCAAAAGGATGGAAGAACCTGACTTCTAATCAAATACAGGGAACTCGGGCTCCCTTATAATAGTTCACTTGGATGTGAGAATGCAAAGTAAAAAAAATTAATGTAGATACAGAAAAGTAGAGATATATTAATTAAAGAAAGAGATGGTGGGCTATGCTGATTGTACAAGAGAAAAATAAATACTAAAATTACATGATTAAAGGAAAAATAAAATAAAGCAGCAGGCGCGGAGTTTGAGACTGATAGTTTGTTGATGCTGATGATCCTTGTTGAAAGAGGGCTCTTTTATTTATAGATGATCCTGACTTGATGTTCAAGTTCCATGATCGCTATTTTCCTTAAATTTAGAAACCACTTCCTTCATCGTGGTTGGAGTGTGGATGGTCTTGACTTAGTGGCTAAGGTTTCATAAATATTTTCTTTTAATTATTTTAAAGCTAATTAAGTTGAGCTGAGTTTGGGCCTTCAAATTTATAATTTGGGTGCAAATAATGTCCCCTTCATACAAATTGGCCGGAGCCTTTGTGAGCTAATTTTGTATGAATATTTTCATTGACCCCACTTCCAAACATTGCATGAGTCTTATGTCTTGGAGGACTAGCTCGTTCTCGTTCTAATTGATGGTTGAACTGGTACTTTACTTGATGGACACTCTTGTGGTTAAAGATTAGGGACCATGTGGTCTCGCTTAGGATTAAGTTTCTCAAGGTTTGGGATCTCAAGAGCTGATTTTGGAGTTGGCCCTTTAAGTTTTTGGACTTTAAGGACTGGTTTTGGAAAATCTAGTTGTGGGGCTTGACTTTCACCCTTGTGGAGAGAGCCCTTTGGGAGAAAGCTCTTGTGAAAAGGGTCCTTGCAAAACTCATCTTTTTAATTTTGGTCCTCGTGGCTTTGGCCCTTGTGGTGTCAGCCCTTATTACTGCGGCCTCTGTGACTTTGGCTCTTATGGTTTTAGCCCTTGTGGCTCCGGCCCTTCTAATGCTGGCCCTGGTGGCTTTGGCCTTTGTGGCCGAACGAGCCTGCTATTAAATTAAACCCGTCATTTATCCTTTGAGAGATGTTATAGTAGTCCTCGTTGTTGATCTTTTGGTCGAAGGGCATATTAGGAGATTGCCCCTCGAGTCCATCTATTCTCTGAAGGTGTAAGCCAATTAGAGCTTGCTCTTGCTATGGTCCAGATAGCATAGTAGAGACGTTCCTTAGCTCATCCTTCAGAGTTTGCAACAGAGCTCTTTGTCTCTCATTAGCTTGTACTTTATGTTCTGAGTATGCAGCCATGTTCTTTAAGTTGTAAGATTTAGGTCTATTCTTTCTAACAATATATTGATCCTTATGTGTCCTAGGTATTCCATTCACATGGGTCCCACTAGGTGCATCAAAAATTGCTAGGCAAAAATAAAAGGATGGTGTTGTGAGGCGTGCTAGAGATGCGGGATCTCAAAAAGATAGAAAAACTTGATTTCTAATCAAATGCAGAGAACCCAGGCTTTCTTACCATAGTTCCCTTGGATGTAAGAATGTGAAGTAAAAAAAAAGTAATATAACTGTAGAAAAACAGATATACATTAATTAAAGAAAGAGATGGCGGGCTATGCCGGCCATATAATAGAAAAGTAAATACTAAAATTGCATGATAAAAGAAAAAATAAAATAAAACAATAGACGCAAAGTCTGAGACCGGTAGTTTGTTGATGTTAATGATCCTTGTTAAGAGAGGGCTTCTCTATCTATAGTTGATCCTGACTTGGTGCCCAAGCCCTATGATTGTCAGTTTCCTTAAATTTAGGAACCACTTCCTCCATCGTGGTTAGAGTGTAGATGGTCTTGATTTAATGGCTAAGGCTTCATAAATATTTTCTTCTAATTATTTTAAAGCTAATTAAGTTAAATTGAATCTAGGTCTCCAAATTCACAATTTGGGTGCAAACAAAAGGGTGCCCACATTTAATGCTCAATCATGCCTTGAATAGGATTGCTTCCAATAAGAGGATATTTATGAGCAACTAAAAAAAAAAAAAAACAGTGACTGTCAAGGGAAGCATTTGAATGTGAGCTCATCAATAGAATGAACTACCTGCCTGTCTCGTATTATGAAAGCCCATGACTGCCGGCTTGTATTCCCACTAGCGTCTCTCCTTGTCTATATGAATTTATTCCTTCATTTCAAGCTTCTTGGTTTGTCAACTTCGGCATTGCTATTTCCTCCTGTTATTCTTGGGCGCAAAACTTGGGGACATGATATTGCTAGTTAGTTGCCATAACTTTTGGGTTTTCATCATTTGCTGAATAATTTGAAACTGAGTGCTCAAAGTATCATTCCTTTTCTTTTGGATCCAAAAGTTTCAAGATTTCAGGATTTTGACCTGCTGGTTCTTCTAAAAATTTCACTGTTTTGTGCTCTTTATCCGTTACATCATTAAATTGGGCTAATTGAGTTATGGTTATATTTCTTTTATTAATGTCCAAGGGGATTCAAACAACAGAACTTTTGTTCTGATCGTTGAGAACAACTTAACCTTTTCATAAAACTAATCAAGAAGACTTATGCAATGTAATTGTATTGACCTTTCTGGTCAAATATTTTCTTATCAGTATCACTTCACTTTGTCTTACTACAGGCCTTTCTGGGTAGGAAACATGGAGCCAAAGTGTGGGATCAAGAAAGATGTCACTGAAGTAATATTTCTTCATTATTGTCCTGATATGATTGCTGTTTTCCGGTCTTTCAGTTATATTCTTTACTTTTCTTCTTTTGCAGTTAATAGGCAACACCCCTATGGTTTATTTGAATAAAATTGTGGATGGGTGTGTGGCTCGTATTGCTGCTAAACTAGAGTCCATGGAGCCCTGCTCTAGTGTCAAAGATAGGTACAGATTTCCTTTCTTTGGCTATACAGAACTCTCTCGGTCTATTAGGATTTTTACTTAAAATAGGATATCTTCTTTATCATATTCAGGACAGCTTTTAGCATGATCAAATATGCTGAGGATAAAGGCAAAATTACACCTGGAAAGGTTAGTCACGGAAAGTTTAGATATACATAGATTCTTTATGCAGCCTCAAGCTTGTAGTTCTGCATGTACGCACTTTCTTGTAAGATCTATTTTTCCTTTTTCTTTTCCAATAATAGTATTCAAATCCCAATTATGTTCATCAACTCTAGCTGTGTTTCTAGGCCCAGGCTTGTTTAACCTGATGTAATTGCTTTTGCAATGTAACCCTTTTGCTACCAAAAAAAAAAAAAAAAAAACAACTCTGGCTGTCTCTTTCTTTCTAGAAGCTTCCATGATGGCAAACATGCATGTTTCGTTCTGATGTGCCATTATTGTTGTTGATACACGTTTCAAGGCATTTTTCTTACGTAATATGTCGTTATTTTGCATGGCGCTTGTGTGTTGTGTCCTTATGTATGCTTCAAACAACTTTCATGCACATTGATATGTTTACTAATGGTGGCCAAAGACTGTTCTTGTGGAGCCTACAAGTGGTAACACTGGCGTAGGAATGGCATTCGTAGCAGCATTGAAGGGCTATAAGGTTATAGTGGTCATGCCAGCTTCTGTAAGTCTTGAGAGAAAAATTGTACTTAGAGCATTTGGAGCTGAGGTATATCTGACTGACCCTGCCAAAGGAATGCCTGGGTGTCTTGAGAAAACAAATGAGCTATTAAGCAAGATACCTAATAGTTATATGCTTCAGCAATTTGAAAATCCTGCCAATCCACAGGTCTTACCTACATCAGTCTTAATTTTAATGCCAGGTTTAGAAGGTTTAAATGCTAGGTTGAGAAGACTTACATTCTATTTCTTTCTTTTTTTTTTTCATAGATCCATTATGAGACTACGGGGCCTGAGATTTGGAGAGATTCAGGAGGAAAAGTTGATGTCTTGGTTGCAGGGATAGGAACTGGGGGGACGATAACTGGTGCTGGGAAGTTCCTCAAGGAAAGAAACCCAGATATTAAGGTTTTTGTCTTTAGTTGCGTGTTTTCTAGGCCGAACAAGAGATTGAAGGGCTTTTTATGCTAATTTCATGGTTCATTCTGTTTTTTCCCCCAGGTGTATGGTGTAGAACCGGCTGAAACTGCAGTCCTGCGTGGAGGACAACCAGGTGATTTCATCAGTCTTGTGTATATGTGACTGAGGGCCCGTTTGGATTTTAGAATTTCAGTCGGGTGTAATTAATTTTAAAAATAATTTATTAACATGGTTGATTTTAATTATAATTAATTATGATATAACGCAATCTGTTTAGATATTATTTTTATAAAATTAATTTTAACATAATTAAAGATATTAGGATGATTTAATCAAAATTAATTTTAACTATACAAATTACTATATAATACGTTATTTTTTAAAATTAAATTATTGATAAATTTTATATAATATTATTAAATTTGTTAAATTTTATTTAAGAAATAAAACATATTATTTACATTATATATCTGATTAATTATGGAAATTTAAATTATATTAATATTAGTAATTTAATTTATATAAATAAATAACTTAATATATTTAAGTTTCAATAGCTTTAATAAAAGAAAAAGATATAATTTTTAAATACAAAATTTTAATTTTACAGTAATTAATAAAGAGGATAATATATAAGAGATGATAAAAGAGAAAGATATAATTTTAAAACATTATTTATAGACTAAAATACATATATACATACCAGAAGCAATGATTATTTCCCAAGATGATCGACGCTGAACTTACTGAGCGATTTTTCTATTTAGAGAAACCAACCCAATTGAAGGGGGAAAAAACGTACTTGCATACATTCATATAAATATATAATATATATATAACTTCCTTCAGCTATTATTTATTGCATGTGATTTTAACGTTTTGGGTATGAATTTAATTTAATGTATTATATTTGACTCGCCCACAACCCGAGCTGTGCTCGTCCCTTAATCTCCCGAAATCCCACCACGAGCAAGAATGAAGGACGCTGCTCTGCCAAAGCACCAGAAGCTGTCACCTCACCGGTGAGAGACGACACTTCACCCACATAGCGTTCTGTCACGAGACCTCCGCTCGAGTAGTTTCTTGATCGACTGGAGACGACGGTTTTTCTTTACTCTGTTTTTGTCCTCAAAACAGAGGCTAAAAAAAACCACATGAAACCTATGTGCTTGGCCAATTCTTTCTTCCGAGACTCATTCTCTGTTCTCTGTCCATCATACCATCACCTGACCATTACTCGGATTGCCTTCATTCCAACGTCCATCGTAGCTCGGAGATGGAGATAGCGAGAGAGGGGAGACCAAAAAGAAGTCCGAATATTGGCCAAAAAAAGAAAACAAGTCTGAATACGTATCTGGAGAGGGTAATATTGGCAGGTGGAATTATGATAAATTACTCATTATTCTAACGGTAAAATGAATTCTGTGAAAGCTGGCAGCGGTAGCCTAACATAAAACGCGGTTCAAACCTCATTAATCGATTACCTGATATATGGGCTGTTTGGGTAATTTTTTTCCATTAATCAATTTCCCTCCAAAAAATCGATTATGAAGGCAAACCAAACAGGCACTGAATCTTTCTCGTTGTTTTGCTGAACAAGAATTAAGTAGTTGGAATCCATGAAAGTCTTCCTGTCTTGGACTTTATGTTCTGTCAAAAATGATTTAGAACAGAACAACCCATGGAGATCAATTAGCATAGGAAGACGTCTGGAAGACTTTGCCCACCTGTGAAATTCTCTTGAATTTTGAATTGATATGTATATATTGAAAGCTTTAATCTAGATTTATTGTCCGCTGAACTACAAACTTCATTTCCTAATTTAGCACTTATGTGATGTAGGTAGTATAATTGTTTGTTTAGAATGTCTCCTTTCAACTCGAGGAAAACATTATACAAGTGTCAGAATGTATACTGATGGCTTTGTTACTTCCATGTGTCAAAGGCAAGCATTTAATCCAAGGAATTGGCCCTGATTTCATTCCAAATGTGCTGGACCTTAATCTGCTTGATGAAATTATTCAGGTAGCTTTCAAAAATTAGTATGTGGAATTTAATCCTGATCCATTGAATGTGCGTAGTGTATTGATTGACAGTGGAGCACAGCATGCGTAAGTCCATGCTGTGTATTACATAAATACATATATGTATACATGTGTTATATGGATGTTTATATGTATGTATACGCTCTCTTCAAGCATGTCAATATTTGACAAAATTTTATGTTTCATGTGAGTTTTATGTATCTCATAGAGTTTAAAAAGTGAGTCGCATTAGTCATGGTTCATAAAACATACGGCTTGTTGGAGTTTAGAGATTTTATATTATTTATAAATATACAAGTACGTTCTCTTCTCTGCTATCGGCTAATGCAAGGGCTTGTTGCCTACCGTGGTTCTTTAAATTGCAGATAACAAGTGAGGAAGCCATAGAGACTGCTAAGCTGCTTGCTTTGAAAGAAGGTTTGCTGGTATGGTCCCAAACTTATAATTAAATATATAGGTTTATTTTTTTTATGGAAATGCAGAATGTTTTTGTGTCGAGTCACTTTTTCCTATTGAGATTAAACTATATTTCTAAAGGCTTTTCTTATTGCAAGGTCCAATTATTTATTTTTTATTTATTTACTGATATGAATGCTGGTTCTGCAGATGGGAATTTCGTCTGGAGCTGCTGCTGCTGCTGCAATAAAGTTAGGGAAGAGACCAGAAAATGCAGGAAAGCTCATTGTTGTAAGTCATCATGCTCTATTAAATTTATTGGACAAATTATAAGATGGCTATCTTCTAGAAATCTACACAAATTAGATAATTCTTTTCACCCTATAGCTACACGCCGCTTTACCTTGAGTACTTATTAATTGGAGAATAATATATCCGTGTAGGGGCTTGGTATTTTGCTATCCGTGTATGTTTTCAACAGTGTGGTCAGAATTCTGACTATGGTACTCTGATGGTTAATTTTGAAATCGGAGTCTAATGCAAAATTTGATCCTTGCTTCTCAGGCGGTATTTCCCAGCTTTGGTGAGCGTTACCTCTCAACAGCATTATTTGAATCCATTAGACATGAGGTTGAACAAATGACATTTGAGTAAGCTCTCCAGTCCCAAAAGGCTGCAGCTGTATGGCTAAATAAAAGGTCGTATCTGGAATTGCAACGATCCAAATGGAATTTAAAATTATGTATGGCAAATAAGTGCAGAGATTGGCTTGCTTATTACTTTTAGAGTTCTTAATACTCCATCCTTAGGGTGCAGGAATGGAGTAGGAATATTTTGATTGATGATATGTATTAATTGTCTTTATTTGCAAAAGAATCATGTATGGAAGGATTTATGTATTCCTTTGTAACGGTTGTAATTCTCAATCAATATTCTTCACATCTGTTGTCCAAAACACAAACAAGTTGTTTTACAATATGCATGATGTCGTAAACTTTGGTTTTAGCAGTCATTAGAGGGTTAGTTTCTAGAACTTTGCAGGATCAGAGGATCCCAGATAGTTCCTGTGGATTGATTTTCTGTTTGCTGCATAACTGAAGGACAAAAAGAAACCCGATTAAGCAATATATGTACATTTCGGAAAAGATTAGTTTAATTAATTATGAATTTGGTTAAGCCTGGCTGCAGCAGTGACGGACACGGACACGCCGGCGGGATGAATGGCGAGGTTCGGGTTATTTCTCATCTCTGCAACGGTTACCCCTTCCGCATCTTTCCTCGTCGCCACTTTATCTGACGGCAGCTTTGAAGTCGCATCCTGCAGTCAATTTATCAAGTTAAACCTGAGTTAACTCGCCTGTTCGCACGCGGGTGGAATCATCGAAAAGGCAGATATAACTATTTACGTTGAGAATATCTGCGAGTGTGGTCTTGTCTGTGTTGTTTGTGAGGCGGGCATTGAGAGTGGCGGCGGACTGAGCGGCGGCGGCGACACCGCCAGGGACAATGTTGGTACGGCCTGTGGCCCTCACTTCGGCTGCCTGAATTGCGGCGGCGTCACTCCACTCCACAGGCTTGTTACCGGCAGTGACGGCCGTAGCTTCCAGTGCTTCTCCGATAGAAATTCCCCCGCACCCTCCAAGCCCAACTCTAGCATCTTCTTGCGTCCGAGAAGGTGGCGCCACCGTCTGCATCGTTACTTTTTTATCGTAGTGCTCTACCGCCTGTTCCTATTCCCACCATCAAATACCGAAAATCAAAATCACTGCTGTTTTATGCTTACTTATGCCATGCTACCATCTCAATCTCCAATTTTCCATGCATGAATTGTGTCTGTATATTACTTGATTTTAAAATTCGATGATAAATTTGGTTTTATTTTGTTAGATATTGCATGAAATGCACTAGATATATAATAAATTAATTTTGTAACCTTCATTTAAGCGATTTCACTGAACCGAAATTCTTAGGCGTAGCTTGTACTTCAATTAGCATTTCGCCCCAACACGCTTTTTTATCCCCCTTTTTCTTTTCTTTTTTATAATTTAACATATATCCTTGTGTCCGGACAAAAGTCCACACATTAACAATGATGACATTCCGAAAAATTTTGCCCCAAGTTTCAGATCTTGATCTGTTTAATTCATTTTAAAACACCGTTAGAATAAAACCGAAGATTAACCGGCAAACATCTCAAACTTGTAGAAAAGATTTAATACCTCGACCAGTTGATGGATTTTCCTTGCGTTTCCTTCTACTCTTTGGATAACCTGATCGAGCAAATGACGTAGTGATCAAGAAAAGTCAAATGCAAAGAAACAACAAGTCAAATGCAAAGAGACTCCCAGGAGGGACGAAACCTGTCCGCCGAAAGACTCCACGATGACGCGCTTGCCTTCAAGATCAGTCTCGGTTACACTAACACCGAGATCGGCGGCAGAAGCGGTCATATCCTTGTGTCCAACATGGCCCGCCCTCTCGTTCTTCATGGCGGCCGACTGCATGACGGCAGCGGCGCCCCCCCTGAGGGTCTTGCCCAGCATGGCATTCTCCGCCGACTGCATCATAGAGGCATCTTTCGGGGTCACCGGCATGCTTGCCAGCTCCCCTTGAACGCTGAATAAATCGCCGTACTTGATGGGTTCCTCCTGCAGTAGCCTCCGCCGTTGCTCTTGACTCATCTCTCAGTGTTAATTGATGATGCTGATTGGTTTTTCTTCTTCTTCTTTTGTTTTGGTTTTTAAGAAGTATGTAGCCATAGGGAGAGGAGAATTATTATACATGCAGCGGCAGATAATTGATAGAGATAAACACGGTGGGATGTATGAACCTAGACATGCTTGACCACCAATGTAACGTGTTTTATGGCTCGGCCGTTGTTCTCTTTTCACATCTACAGGGAACAAGGACCAGTCGCTAATCCTTGTTTTAAAAATAACTACAGTAGATGAGGACAAAGCTTTATAATCTTGCATAAGTAACACAAAGCTTTGTAAAAAATGCTTATTGATTTTGCACAAATGTTTTATTGTTAATTAATAAATCGCGTTTTCTCTCTATATTTGTTAATTAATTTAAACGGGATTTTTTCTTACAAACAATCCAAATCTTAAGGAGGTAATAGCCTAGAAAGGAAAGCCAGGAGGCAGTTTATTATGATACAGTCAAAAATTAACAAACTTACTAATTGGTGGACAGGTTACCTGAACCAATTTAATTAAACATTTGAAGGAAAAGGCTTTAAGTTTAGTACTATTTTCGTTCACGACAACAAATTTAATCAGAAGTGTGTGCTATAACAAGTTTAATGTAACATGGGTACACGTTTATTTATTTTCTTTAATTAATTATGTATCGTATGCAAAAGTTGTTTGCTATTGAGGATGTGCATGGAAATTAAATTAAATTAGTGCGAAGAAATTAAAAATAATAGTAATTTCGCAAATACATGACAAGTTTAAGATCCAATCAACTATACATTTCACGTTTTCTCACAGCGAATGAATTAAGGAGAATGAACAAGTAGATAACAAATTAAAGAAAACAATTCTTGTATGCATTGTTAACCATTACCCTTTACCGTCTCAGGATTGCCCGTCAAAAATGCACTTTTGAGTCCGAAGACCGAGATTCTCTGGAAGTGTGCCCAACGTGATTCTTGAACCAGTAATTGATTAGCAGAGATACAATGCGCAAGTTTCACAAATAATGCTTATGTTTCTTGATCTTAAACGATGCACTCTTGAACGTTGCCGGTTTAGCCGCCAAATCCATTCTCCATCTCAAAGACACCCTTATTCCTCCATTCTCAATTAATTTTCCCATTATGACCCCACCCCAACTCTCTCACTCTCAGCTAAATTCACCTACAATCCTCCTACGCTTATCCTTCTCCCTCTGCTTTGACAAACCAGAACATGAACCCTACGTCCGCGGCGATCCTATTCCTCTTCATAATTGCTTCGTCTCCGAATTCTCAAGCACAAGTGACATATCAGTTCGTGCCTCCTGACTTCAGCAGCGAAGGAGCATGGCAGTTCTTGCAGGCGAGCATTGGCATATCAGCCATGCACATGCAACTTCTAAGATACGACAAAGTCGTCATGTTTGACCGTACGGATTTTGGCCCCTCCAACATCTCCCTTCCCGACGGTCGTTGCCGGACGGATCCCTCAGACACTGCCCTCAACGTTGATTGCACCGCTCACTCTGTCCTTTACGACATACCCACCAACACCTTCCGACCCTTAATGGTTCAGACCGACACTTGGTGTTCCTCTGGCTCTGTTCTCCCTAACGGCACCCTCGTCCAGACCGGTGGATACAACGATGGTCAGCTTCGCATCCGCATGTTCACCTCTTGCCAAGACCAGACCTGTGACTGGATCGAATTCCCAGATTACTTGTCAAGGCGAAGATGGTACGCAACTAATCAGATACTACCTGATGGTCGCATCATTGTGGTTGGAGGAAGAAGACAATTCAACTACGAATTCTATCCTAGAAACCCCACCCAATATTCTTCCTCATCCACACAGGCTCTCTTTCTCCCTTTCCTCCAAGAGACAACTGATCCCAATGAAAATAACTTGTACCCTTTCTTGCACCTTTTACCCGACGGAAACCTTTTTATTTTCGCCAATACTCGTTCCATATTGTTTGACTACAGCCGAAACCTTGTCCTCAAAGAATTTCCTCTTATCCCAGGTGAGGATCCTCGAAACTATCCGAGCACGGGCTCTTCGGTTCTTCTCCCAATAAACGATAACAAACCAAGCGTAGAAGCTGAGGTCATGATTTGTGGGGGTGCGCCACGATCTTCATTCGTCAAAGCCCGAGAGGGGAACTTCATACAAGCTCTTGCCACATGCGGACGCCTCAGAGTCACTGACCCGAGCCCAAATTGGGTGATGGAGACCATGCCAATGCCCAGAGTACTGGGAGACATGTTACTCCTCCCCTCCGGCGACGTCATTATCATCAACGGCGCAGGGCTCGGCACCGCCGGGTGGGAACATGGCCGAGGGGCGGTACTTTCTCCTGTCATATATAGGCCTTCAGAGGAGGACTCGTCGTTGAGGTTTAGGGCGATGTCAGCTGCGTCGAGGCCCAGAGTTTACCATTCCTCCGCAGTGTTGCTACCGGATGGAAGAGTGTTGGTTGGAGGTAGCAACCCTCACATGAACTACACTTTCAGTGGGGTAGAGTTCCCAACGGAGCTCAGCTTGGAGGCGTTTTCACCCCCTTATTTGTCGCCGGAGTTTGATCCGATGCGGCCAACGATTTTGTACACGACGTGCAACGATGGCTTAGGGTATATGGTGCTGTGTCATATAACATTCCGGGTGACCTATTACATCTCAGCAAGTGAAGTTTCAGCGAGGCTGGTGGCTCCTTCGTTTACGACGCACTCTTTTGCGATGAATCAGAGAATGGTGGTGTTGAATCAGATTGTGGTGGCACGTACAGGATGGGACACGTATTACACAACAGTGGTGGGTCCATCGTCTCCTCAGATTGCACCACCGGGTTTCTATCTGATGTTCGTTGTGCATGCAGGTATACCTAGTACTGCTGTCTGGCTGCAAGTGCTCTAACACGAACTATCTCAGATTAATTTTCGGCTTGTTGCTCTTTGGTTAAGGGTTTGTTAGCAATTAGCATCTGGTAACACAAATAATTTTTTAGATGTCAAACCTTTCGTGCCGATTATATTATTATGAACTTTATTCGGCCATTTTTGCTTTCCGCAGACCTGGCCTTTTGAATTTCTCTTCCGGATAGACGTGGAGTCACTTAATCAATATTTTAAAATCCGGACAGGTCATTTAATTGGACAAAGCACATACTTAAGGGTTAAGGGGTTAATGGTTGAACAGTTGTTGAACATATTATAGTTAATTTAATATATATTTTTATTTTAGATGTTGGAATTGAGAAAAAAATATAATCATTAATCTTTATAATTTTTGCAAGCTCTGTTTTAATTCTTATAATTTTTTTTATATTTTTAGTCCCTGTAGTGTTTATAATTTAACATCGTTAGAGACTGGAGAAACAAATGTCACCCAATTTTATTAAAATTATAGGGATTGAAGGTGAAAAAAATTATAGAGATTAAAAGTAAAATTTGATGAAACTATAAAGACCAATGATCATATTAAAAATAAAATTTTACAAAATATTATTAGGTTCATGAAAAAATAAAAAAAAAAGTAAAAGAGTGAGAGAATAGTTTTCTCTTTAACTTGGCAAAGAAACTCATTAAGTGTTAAAAATTACTCAACTTATTTAATTTTTAAGAGAACGAAGCACGAGAAATTCTTAGAAGATTAGACTTGGTAAAACTTATAAATACTAAAATAAAATCATATATTTTGAAATAAAAAATATAGATAAATAATTTTATATGAAAATATTAAATATATAATTTTACATTATAAAAATGATGCAAGATTTAAGCAGACAAATTTAATAAATTTGAAGGAAAAATAAGGAGGGGAAAAAAAAAGCAACCAGACACTCGTATAAGAGGAGTCAGGAGCAGCCATGTGATGGGGGCTCTCTAACCCTAACCATGATGAAAAAGAGGAATGAGGAGCATGAGCTAAAAACCCCCCACATCGAGAATACGAAAGGATTGGGATGCCACAACTTTGCTATAAAAATGGTGAGGGGGGCGGAGAGCTTTGACTGTGGAAGGTTGAGTTGCTCTCAGTGAAAAATAACAACTTCTGGCCCAAAAGATTTTAATATTTTAATTTAATATTGATTTTTTTTTTGGGGAAATTTTGAAGTTTTAAAATTCTGTCCGGTTTTTTTAAATCATAACTGGCTTAGTTTTATCGGTTTAATTGGTTGTTGGTTGGTTTTTATGACTAGCTATAACTTGACTGGTTTTTTGGAATATACTAGATGGGGTTAGAGGTTGATTCCTGATATTAGGAGTGTGAACGTCTCGAATATTTTATAGATGCATATATTATTCTTTATTTTAAAATTATATATTAAATATATTAATATAATTTATATTTATATTAATTATAATTTCAATATATATTGTTCTTGTTAAAATTAAAAGTTTTTTATATTAATAATTTTAATTACATACTTTAAGCAATCTAGAGAATATCTTTCTTTACAATATATTTAATTTATTTTTATATTTACCAGTTTAATAACTTATGTTTGCATCATATTTCTTATTTTATTTTTGAAAAAATTACTAGCTTAATATATTTCAATCAAAGAAGAAAAATAATGACCTGATGTTGTGTCAGGCTTGTTTGTTTGTTATTGTTGCTCTTATAGCTTAGAGATCAGTTGTAATTATTATCATAATGTGTTATATCTCATATATACTTGATTGTAAGTTGTATATTTATAATTATGATTGATGTAATTCAATAATTATTGTAATTTATATGTTCACGTTGTTTTGTTTTTAAACTTGATAAGTTATGTGATCTAAAATTTTAATTAATGAATATTATTATCCTGGCCCTTCTCTCACATTGTCCACTTTATTAAGAAGGCAATACGTTTTGTTCTTATCTCAATTTCTAACAAAATAAAATGACTTTTAAAAGATGATGAAACATGAGATAAAAATTTAATCTCAATAACTTTATAGAATGGGATGTGAGATAAAGGTATCCCGCTCTGATAGATGCTTCTACCCAGTCTAATGAATCGAACGGGTTTAATACAATAAGAACTCAGCTTCATGCTTGCCCAATGCGAGTGAAAATTCAGTTTGGATAATCCCAAGATGAGAGCGAGTTGAGTTGGCGTGAAGTAAAAATATGTTTATTGTTTTTCGTTGTAAAATACGTTGCAGACTTCATATCTTAGACTATGTAAAGTAAATTCGTAAAACAGTAAAGTGTGACTACCACCAGCTGGGGCGGACACGAAAGAAACTTTTCATTTTTACTACCTGAAAAATCGTACTTGAAATAGATGGGACTGATGGAGTGGAAAAGGGCGCAGAAAAGAAACCAGATTCACAAAACTGCTTCATTCCCCTCCTGGCTCTGTAGGCAGGTCACGCATGGTCAGGTTACACACACACACACGTGTATATATTTTATCTAGGCCAAAGTAATACAGAGAAGTGGTAACTGTATGCCAAAAAAAAAAAAAAACTGAGATGCATTGGATTCCGTATTTAAATTTCACCTGTGTATTAGTGTCTAACCATGTCTTTAAGTGGTATTATCACAAACAAAAAGAATATCTGTAAATACTAAAAAAAATTACTTTTGCGTTCTTCTTCTCACATTTTTATTCCCTAAATTTTTTTTTCAGGGAGTAATTTTATTCTGTATTGATAAATGGGATGACTTTATTTTTAAACTATTTTTAGGAATAAAATATTCTTCCTATAGGGTGTTTTCAGGAATAAAATTACTCATTTATCAATACAAAAATAGAGTTGTTCATCCAAAAAAAGTTCAATGATAAAATGTATCTTAACCCCCAATTTTTGTTTGATAAAGTAATTCTATTTTTGTCTGTTTCTTTCAAAATGTTGGCCGGACACCTTACGAACGCCAGGGAGCTAGCGTTTACTTGTAGAACATTTTTATATGCTATCTTGATGACCCTTTCCATTTATACCTGCCTAATAAAAAAATTGAACGACAAAAAATACAATTTATCTATCAGACTTGTTCACCAAAATACAGATATATTTTCATTATTTCTTTTCTTTATCAAAACACTCCATCGTTGCCGGATGCTTGAATTAATGTATGTCAGGAAAAAAAAAAATTATACAAACATCATTTTTACTACTCACCTTCTTTTTGTTAGGCAAATTATGAAATGATAGAGCAGGTGCATTTAAAAGGGTTGCTATGTTTTTTATTTCAGCTCTGAGGCTTGCTTGTGATGCTTAATCTACCTCACTCCAATTATTTTACCAAAAAAAAAAAGAAAAAGAAAAACTCAATCCATTTTTTTCTTCTTCAGATTGTGGGTTCTCTGGCCACCACCCAGTCTTTCTGATTGGATTATCAGGAACTTTGATTGTCGTAAGCAGGGGATGTGTTAATTTCTTTGTGAACTTTTGCAGTATTGAATACAATCTCTTTTTGTCCCGGGAAAAAAAAAACCTCTGGCCAAAAAAGGGGTAAAAAATTGGAAGTAAACAGCTCGTGTGACGTGTAAAATATAGTTATCGTGGCAAAATGTAGTTGGTGGGTTTGTTTTACGCTGGGTCCCATGTCATTTTCGTAATTTCGAGGAGAAGCACGCCCCTCTTGACTACAAACCCACACTAGTTATACCGCGTTAAGTTTTCCGTTTTCCCTCCGTGTAGTTTCCTCTCTAGTCTGGAGTCTTGACCCATCTTCCTCGAGAGGCCTTTATAAGAGACATTAAGAGCGAACTCGGAAGCGGAGAGTTCCAAATGAATTACTAAACTGAAGATACAGTGAGGGGAAGTGGCTCATTTCACCGTTGAGCGAGGGAGAGAATTCGAAGGCAAAATGAAGAACATTTTCAAGAAGCTTCACAAAGCGAGCAACCACGACCCTAATCGATCCAATGAAACCCCGGCTTCCGTCGCATCAGCTTCTGATGCCTCTGATCACCGTCCTGCACCCCTTCAAAACTCTGCCCCTTCTCCGGCCAGTCCCTCTTCATTGTCTCCCTCTTCGGCAGCGGCCGGTGCTTCCCAACCCCCGCCTGCTACGCCCAATCGGCAAGACTATTTTTTGTCAGAGGAGGAGTATCAGGTGCAGCTTGCCCTGGCCATCAGTGCTTCCAAGTCTGATTTTCGGGACGATCCTGAGAAGGATCAGATCCGAGCGGCCACGCTGCTGAGCCTGGGAGGCCATCGAATTGATTCAGCAATGAATCGTGATGATGTGGCGAAGGCGCTGTCCAGACAGTACTGGGTGAGTTTGGCTTTGGTCACGAAAATTCAATTTCGGTAACTGAAATGAAGGCATGAATTAAGGGTTATGCTGAATGATTTTGTGTTGATGTTAATTAGGGTTTTTTTAATCCTATAGTCGAGTTTCTCATGTAGTGAACTGTATAATCGAGCTTACATTTCCGGATTTAGTAAGGATAGCGATTTGTTTGAACTGCGTATCATGGACTGTATCTTGAGCAGTTCCGTAGGATTTGATGCATCCGGAAAGCTGAATGAACTATTGAGGCAAGAAAGAAAGAAAAAAGAAAGCTGAAAGAACTATGAGAAGTCAAATTTAATTTAGCCTTTTATTCCAGCCTTTAAAATTCTGAAATTGGCATGTTATTCAACAAGTGACGTTGTTGTGTAATTGGTGAACTTAGATTTGAATTCTTCATGTAGTACTGCTGATTGAACTAATTGAAGTGTGGAATTGGTGAACCTAGAATGCTTGCTACTTGTGTCTGTCCCCATTGATGTCCCCCACCCCTCCACATGCTTCTCATTTGGGTTGTCATGCATCTTTCTCTTGACCAGGAATACAACGTGCTTGACTATGAAGAGAAAGTAGTTGATGGTTTTTATGATGTATATGGTCTTTGTACTGATTCATCGATGCAAGGAAAGATGCCCTCTTTGGAAGACCTTGAAGCAAATCCGGGTAATTCAAGTTTTGAAGTTGTCATAGTGAATCAAGCAATTGATCCTGCCCTGGAAGAGTTAGTGCAAATCGCACAATGTGTAGCACTAGATTGTCCTGTCACTGATGTTGGTGTTTTGGTGCAAAGACTGGCTGAACTTGTTACAGGGCATATGGGTGGCCCTGTAAAGGATGCTAATATTATATTAGCAAGATGGACAGAAAGAAGTACAGAGCTACGGACATCTCTTCAGACAAGTATGTTACCTATAGGGTCTATAAATATTGGCCTATCCAGGCACCGTGCTCTGCTTTTTAAGGTCAGCATTTTGGCTGTTGGTGATTGAATTCTCTTGAGCCATGCCATAACTTGACATTTGATGATTTACTATTCTCTAGTCTAGTTATCATTATTGCAAGCCTGTGGCATGTGTATATTGGAAATTTATTGAAGATGATATCTAACTGCTTTTCAGTTTACTTTAAACAGTTCGTAAAAGAAATTAATAAGGAAATTGATTAAAATTCAAAACAAATAAAATTATATTATTCATCTAGAATAGGATGGTTACATCTAGTAAAGTTTACCCTCCTAGACCACATTGAGAAAGTTCTGCCAAATAAAGTTAGCTTGAATAATCAAATTATAGGTTAGGCAAGCTGATCATTATTTCTATTTAAACTATTTTTGTTCTAGCATATTGAGGATAAATCTTTTAAATTATTTTTGTGTTCTTTGGTCGTAGATGATTATATTAAGGTTCTCCATTAATCTTATTCTTGCCAAGATCTTTGGACATTTGCTTAATCCTTTGAACGCCTCACTTTTTGACTTGTTGACAGCATGATGCAACTTATTTTTGTGCATGTAGGTATTGTCTGACAATATCAAGATGCCCTGTAGACTGGTTAAAGGTAGTCATTACACTGGTGTTGAGGATGATGCTGTCAACATTATAAAGTTGGAGGATGAAAGGTTATAGTGTTTGTTATTCTTTGATTTCTGAATGTATTTCCTGTTATTGTTTTTTGTGCGCACATGAACAAGTGTGTGTGTTATTATTTCCTGGTATGCTGTTGTCCATCTTCATTAATATGTATTGGTATTTTGGCATGGCACTAATATGTCCTTTCCTGCCATCAGGGAGTTTTTGGTTGATCTTATGGCTGCTCCTGGTACTCTTATTCCAACTGATATTTTTAATCCTAAAGACCCTTCCTTTAAGCCATACAATCCCAAGAATTTTCCAGCCTTACAGTCAACAAATGAAAATAGATTTTCTTACCCAAGACCTTTGTCATCTGATGGTGAAGGCAGTAGTCAAAGTTCTGCGATCAGAAGTGATTCATCATCATTGAATGTGAGACCATATTTTGGGAAGTCTGATTATATGTCTTCAAACCTGAGTTTGGGTGGAGAAACTGGTGTTGGTCCTTCCAAAGTTCCTAGTAAAGCATCTTCTAGCCAAGCAGACAATTTTTTTCCATCAGCCAGTAGTTCTCTGTACAAAGGAACTCGTGGAATGAATGCTATTGGTGATGGGACTAGACTGAACATCAATGTTGTACCATATGGTCAGAATGGTCCAGATGACTCTAGGAACCTTTTTGCAGATCTTAACCCATTCCAGATAAAAGGAACGGGCAAGACTGCTGTACACAACAAACCCGTGGAAAATCAAGCTCCTGAACTTCATAGTACGAAAGAAAACAAATTTTCTGGTCGACCCCCGGTACCTTTGATGTGGAAGAACCGTTATGCATACAATGAAGATCCCAGGAAACTTAACCGTAATCCTAATGAATATAACCCTTCTTCGTTAGCTTCCAATAGTTCTTCTGTATCGGAAAAAGTTGATGTCAATAATTCCAACTCATCATACCATGCAAATATCAATAGAGACAAAGAGAGGAGCTTGATGCAAGTTACTGGCACAGTATCAGCATCTGGTTCTGGTGATCTGAACAGGGATGAAGGTTTCAATGCTGAATGGAACAAAGGGAATGTGGAAAAATCTCAAAACAGCATAGCAGATGTTGTCAAAGAACAGGAAAACAATGAAATTGGATTTCATGACCGAAGAAAAAGCACTCATGACAGATTCATGGGTAGCAAGTTGAAACTAAAGGAGCTAGAGAGTCCTAGTTCATCAGTTGATTCCATCACAAATAGGGTTGACCAAATCTTGGATGATGTAGATGTGGGCGAATGTGAAATTCCATGGGAGGATCTGGTTCTTGGTGAAAGAATTGGTCTAGGTAATTTGAATAACTTTCTTTCATTTTCTTATCGGAATGTTGTTATTCACTGGGAAGTTGATATGGTGTTGTTTAGTGTAAGAAGAGTTGTTAACGTATATTTACATAATAGGTCACTTCTTGTATGATCATGTGAATTTCAAAATCATGATTTAGTTCTATTCATGCAAGCATAGTCCTAAGGTTTTGGTGAGCTTCTCTAACCCAAATTCACTTAATTTTCCGCATGATAGTACTATGTAAGGATTCAAAGAATTTTTGTGGATGCTTTTGTTGTGTTAGTTTTGTGTTTCAGTAAACTTTTATTCTGAGTATCTTTTAATTTCCATGTTTTCTTTTAATAGGTTCATATGGTGAGGTATATCAAGCTGACTGGAATGGCACAGTGAGTATTCTAATTGCTTTGTGTACTTGATTGAGAAGAATCTTGTTTTATATTGAATTGGGAAATGATTAAGGGACAACCTAGCAATAACTGCCATTAGAGTTTTGTTGCCTTTTCATGGGTGGTTCATCAAATGGTACAATAAATGGCCCCAATAACTCATCCCAAGCAGTAATGGAGCGTGTCTGGATAGTCTTGCTTGACTGGCACATTCTCAGAATTGTCTCATTTTGCTTTATTCCAAGATTTTTTCCCAAAATGGAATTAATCATATTCTCTTATATTCTGACTGATGATATGTTAAACTTTCAGGAGGTTGCTGTGAAGAAGTTTTTGGATCAGGATTTTTCAGGTGCTGCCTTGGCTGAATTCAAAAGAGAAGTAAGCATTAAGTTGGCCTTTTCTGCTTCCAATCGCCATAAATGATGATATAAATGATACCTATGGTGGTTTTCTGTGCAAATAAGGGCGGATATTAATTAAAAATTGTTCTGATGATGATAATGTACCATCTACTCACTTACTGCCTTAGTTATTATTGCTTCCAACATGTCCAGAAGATTTCATCCGTAAAAGTATGCAAAAGTTAAGTTGAACTGCATTGAATTTCTGATGCCCAAGGCATTAATCATCTGATTTTGGTTGATCGTCTAACTGTAGGTTTAAATTAATGTTAACTGAAACAGTGGACTGGGCAAATGGGTGGTTTAAGGGCCTTTTTGTTTAAATGATGGTTGATAAATCATAACATAAAAGAATAGTATTGTTATCCTTGCTTAATGAAGGCCAAAATGCTAATCCGTTTTCCATTTGTATCCTGTAAGGTACGGATAATGCGTAGACTGCGTCATCCTAATGTTGTTCTTTTTATGGGTGCTGTTACTCGACCTCCTAATCTCTCAATCATTACAGAGTTTCTTCCTAGGTAAATTTATGCACCACCTTTTCTTTTTTGCATTTCTTTAGAGTTTATACTGTCATTATTGTATCACATAATTATGATCCTCTTTTTCCCAACAAGACAAAAAGACAATAGTGACACGCACTTCATATCTATGTTGGTTTCTAAAGTCTAGAAGCTTGTGGGAAGTGGTGAACAATTTTATTTACTCATTTCACAAATTTAGCTTTTTTTGTCATTGATGTTGCACTTGACAGGGGAAGTTTGTACCGAATTCTTCATCGTCCTAATTGTCAAATTGATGAAAAACGCAGAATTAAAATGGCTCTGGACGTGGTATGAAATAATATATTTCATCCTTTTTTGACCAACATTTTCATTGGTCATCTTTCAATTTTTGATTCCTTTGAATTGCAGGCAAGAGGCATGAATTGCTTACACACCAGCACACCTACAATTGTTCACCGTGATCTGAAGTCACCAAATCTCTTGGTTGATAAGAACTGGAATGTTAAGGTGTATATTGAAACTTAATTCATTGTCAATGTGCTATGTCAGCTTTTTTCCCCCCATTTATACCTATTCCTGAATTCTTTCTTCACTCATTAAATTAGATAGTTGTTAGTAATGACCCTCTGCTATTGGGCCAAGAGTGGTAAAGATTTGTGGTTGCAGTAAGAATCTGAGAGAAATAGCTAAGGATGAGGTGGCTGGAGGGATAAGGGAGGAATTATTCGGCAATAGCTAAATTGCTTACAGGGATGAGGTGTTTTCCAGGCCTTGTGCCTTGAGTGCGCCTTTCACCATTGACAACACTCTAGCAATGTATATTCTCTTGAGCTTTAACTTTTGGGTGGTGGTCTGATAGAATAGATGAATAATTCTCTTTTGGAAGGAGAGTCTCAAGCCTTTGGAATGCTAGAGGAACCTTATTCTCATCTTTTATTCTTCATCATTTTCCTACTGCTATCACCACAATCTGCTATGTCCTATGCCCATTTCTCTATTTGGAGGAGGATTTACGCTTCCATACATAAATAATACTATGAATCTACAAACTATGTTAATTGTAATTACGACACTTTCTGAGCTAATTTTTCTTTCTTTCGGGCCTTCTTTTGGGGTGGGGAATGATCATCTGCAGTCAGTAATTGTGGGTTTTATCAAGGAGTGTACTTTGACAGCCTGCTCTTCCATGTATCTGCAGGTTTGTGATTTTGGGTTGTCGCGACTGAAGCATAACACATTTTTATCATCCAAGTCAACTGCTGGAACGGTGAGAATTTGAAACAATTCTGTATTATTGTGGATGATCATTTATTTAACCGCATTCTCTATGTTCAATCCTGACTTTTTTCTTCAACATGTTAGCCTGAATGGATGGCTCCTGAAGTTCTTCGGAATGAGCCCTCAAATGAGAAGTGAGTTGTTCTTTAACTAAACCCTTTACCTGTATTTTTCAGCTTTCAGTAAACGTTTATATTTGATTTTTATTAATGATGTGTCCATCATTAGTTCCCAAATATTAACTGAGCCACTAATAGGCTGTTTGATAAGCAAAATAGAATGAAATAATTTTTTTTTTAAAAAGTGATTTTATACTCGAGAAACGTTTTAATGTTTGTGAATTAAAAAATAATAAAACATGATAGATATTGTTAAATAACGGTACCAAAAATATAGTGAATATTGCATATCTCATTTTTATTTAGTGGAAAGGGATTCCTTTTTTGGTAGACTAATCAAGCTATAAAGTGTAGGACAGCTTTACTAATGTTTTGGTATAAAATTATTCAAATGTCTCCAATCAGCCAGTCAATTGCGTTCCCGTGGCGTACTTTTCTGATGCTAATTAGGTCCTGTTAGGCCTGTTCTACCATACATCCTGGGAGGTAATTTTTTTCCCACAGCCGGGATAATCTCTTGGCAAGTTTTTCAATAATTTAATAAAATGTTTTAAATTCTTGTTTCAAGATAAAGAAAATTTCATGCCAATTAATGCCGCAACATCATTTTAACAATATGACAATTTAGCTTTTGAACATGTGAAATTGCGCAAGGTCAGAGAAATATTTATGTGGGGTTGCTGTTTATGGAAATATTTATGCCATCGTATGATAGCAATGAAAAACCTGTTTTTTTTTTTTTTTCGAGTAAGATGAAAGACCTGGTTTCGGTTCTGACCATTCGGGTCCATCTATGGATTTCACCGTCGCCAAAGCACGTTATATCTCCTCTGACTTGAGGCTCGGAAAGCATGGCTGCTGAAGGCTGTGCCAGTACCCCGATTAACACGTGTGATGTCAAATGTACCAGGTGTGATGTATACAGTTTTGGAGTCATTCTATGGGAGCTTGCTACTCTAAAGTTGCCATGGAGTGGGATGAATCCTATGCAAGTTGTTGGTGCTGTAGGTTTCCAAAATCGTCGTTTAGATATCCCCAAGGAAGTTGATCCTTTAGTTGCAAGAATTATCTGGGAATGTTGGCAACAGTAAGCGTAATCTATCTAGCTATTTTAAGTTTTGTTTGTCATGATGCTTTTTGCAACACTCAAAATTGCGCAACATTATGGCAACATTTTAGTTGATGAAAATTTTCTTACACCAGGGATCCCAATTCGCGACCCTCATTTGCACAGCTCACGGTAGCACTAAAGCCCCTGCAGCGTCTAGTAATACGTCTCATCAAGACCAGCCAGCTTCAACTTAGGCGCAGGAGATTTCTGTAAATTCTACCCCTTAAACTATCCATTTCTCAAGTGTGGATAAGGAGGTTTTCTGCATAATTTATTTCTGTGAGTATATGTGTATATATATATGTATCAAAGGAAAAATGAGAAATGAAATCACGCCAAAGCTTGTAAGGCAAATGTTCGTATTGAGGAGCATGAGAATTGTGCTGCAGCTCAAACGACTGCAGAACCATTTTTGTATAGATATTCATAGTTTCACCAATTATACAAAGCTGACGTGTAAATCACCTATTCTCAATTCTGCTGTCAAAGGGAAGGAAAATGAAAATAATTACCAGCTACTGTCGTGTGATTTAAATTTAAAAATTTTGTATTTTCCTTTTTTTTTCCCCTGCTACATTATTGTAAAAAATATTTTTAAAAAACTTTAAAGTCACAATTATCTTAGAACAAAGTTATACCTCTAAAGTGGTAATTATTTAAAATGGAGAGTATGTTTGAACATCTTGGCCATAAGCCTTGTAAACGTCGGGTTGCGAATCAGAAAGTAGTGCAATCATGGATCCGGAGCATGTGTTGGCGTATTCTAATGCTGTTAAAATGTCTTTCTATGCAACGCAAATGTTGTTAGCAGCACAAGGGAAAATCTAGCGCTACACATTGAATATCGTCAACTCAATGATAAAAATGAAGCTCGACACTTTCATGAGAAAAAAGGGAACCGGCCAACCAAAGTACATCTCTGACTAATTGGAGGTGAGGCTTTGACGATCATTATTAATGATTGACATTATCAGTAGATAGAAAACTATAGATGAACAGATCCCTTAGCTTGCCCTTAAGATAAGTGTACTTCCTGAGGAGACCTTCCCTTTGGAACCCAACCTTTTCCAAGACCCTTTGAGAAGCCTTGTTCTCTGCAACAGTGAAAGCTTGTAGCCTTAGCAAGTGAGGCAAATCCTCGAACACTTGCAACACAGCCATCTTTACTGCGTTCGTGACAATCCCCTGACCCCAATAGTTGGCTCCTACAGCATACCCAATGTCGGCCTTACACCTTTCATCGCCCGACCACGGAAACACCGATACAAAGCCGATCGATCGGTCATCCAGGCATATGGATCGTCGCCATGGATGAGGTATGCAAACGTCTCTGATGAAAGCGAATGCCTCCTCCTTAGAACCAATAGTCTTCCACCGCAGGTTCTGAGTCACTCGATCGTCTCCCGCCCACAACAACAAGTCATCGGCGTCGCTCAACTTGAATGGCCGCAGCGAGATCCTTGACATGTCAATTGCCATGATGCTCCACTATGTCTCCCTTATTGCGCTGCTCTTGTGGATCTTTTGTATAGCCAAAGTTTTCGGATTATTATATCAAATGGTCGCTGGTCAGTCGAATACCAGAGGAAAGAGCCGTGTCATTAATTATTCGAGTCAAAAAAGACCCGCTTTGCCTTGCTTTCCAAGCTCACTACCCCTGTTTTTTCGCCGTGGCATTCTTGGCTTCTTGCGTTTTAACTCATCACTCTCTTTATGTCGTTGGACGGCTAATATATAAATATATATATATATATATATATAATTAACAATTATTATTAGTAATCATCAATCAACTTCTTTATCCTTATTATCTTTATTCAAGTCCGTGGCTCGCGATTCATCAGCCATCATTTCCGTTTTTTTCATAACTCATTTCAATTTTATTTCAAAGCAGCTTGATGCCCGTGCATCTATTTTTGAACCTAAACTAAAATAATTTTACAATATTAACTAATATAAATGAAAAAAGTTTACATAAAATATTATAATATTATCCAATACGATGAGTGCATAATTGTGAAAACAAAGATTAAAGAACTTATTATGAATTTTCAAATGCACTCCACAATTGTTAAGAAGGTTGCAAGCAGCTCTATCTCTGTTATGGTGTTTTCTTTATAAATTACAACATAATTTATTATTTTATTGTGCAATTTTGTATCTTTTCTTTCTCATTTGGAGGTCTATCTAATAATTAGATAGTTTATAATATTTTTTACATACAATTCATGAAAAATTAAAATTATGAGATAAATATAACAGTCATATGATGCCATATTTTCTATTAAATTATGTAAAGGTAAATAAATTTATGAAGTATTATAATTTTATTTATGATTTATAAATATCAACAATCAACAAATAAACATGTTAATATATCTTGAAAACTTGATTTTCAAGGGAAACATCAATATTTTTAAATCTGTAGTTGAGATATTATAATATCTAATATCATCAACATTAAAACACAAATTTGATGCTTGAGTCTTCAAATACAAATTATATATAAATTAAAACTTTAAAATTTAGTTAATTTGTTCAAAGTTTATAATTCAAATGAAAATTAAAAATTAAACAAATATCATTAAAACATTATTCGAAGTAAGAAATTTGGATCATGTGCAGAATATGATATGAATAAATTATTATGAGCATGCTTTTCAAAACAAAATTTTCCAGAGAGATGTCCAATATATGTGCGTGCGTGTGTGTGTGGCGCTTCCTCTTCATCCAAATTTATTATACTTGTAAAGTTGTAAGATAATTAACAAACTATTATACTCTAATCATCTCAAATCATAAAATATTTTTAAATAAGATCCCACATACTAATAAATCTCATTGAATACACTTAATAATTTTATTTTTTCAAAATATAAATATAAATTTTTAAAAATGTCCACTATTTAATTTACTGAAAAAAGAAGGATAGAAATTAATTATAGAGAGATAAAGGATAATATTAGAATAATTTAATAAAATCTTAATTTTCTCAAAGTGTCTTGTATTATGAAACATTGAATCTTTTCAAAAAGTATCTTATAATTAGAGACGAAGGGAGTACTTATGAAACCACAACTCCATGTAAATAAAGCATAGTAAGTTTTTTCAATTCTGTTACTTATGAGAGAAAGATTTAAAATGATGAAGGAAAATTCAATAAAAAAAAGTATGAAATGTATGATTATACGCAATTACCTAACATTCACTGTAAATGTGAGATCTATCAGAAATTGACTTGCTCTTCTAATGTCTACTGGCACATTACGAATCTCATTGTGCCATCAACTAGGAACAAAAAATCTTCATGAAGGATGACACAAAAGGGAGGCGAGAAGACCTTGGTAATTGAGGGAGGAGTCAGAGACGAGAAGAGTTTTGTGATTTTACTTGTCTTGATAAGGGAATGGAATGTCTAAATCATATTAGAAGTGAGACAAAAATCTTGTCTACTTTGTAGTTGCTCAATTTGATAGTAAGTTTGTGTAATTAGAATTTTAAAACTAAAAATAAATTTTAATTCATTTTAAATATAATAATTTTTAATATTTAAGAAAATTTGATAGAAAATCTAACGTGCCCGCTAAACTTATATATTTCCAGAGTGGGGAAGCTAAGAAAAATAATTATGGAAAGTTATGATGATAGGAAAGTGGAAGAGATAATGAGACAGAAATGAGAGAAAATAGGAATTAAAATAATTCATTTTAAATATATACTCCCTCTATTCAAAAATATAAGACATTTTTTGAGGAGTTTGATGTTAAAAAATGTAAGGCATTTTTAGTTTTTCGAGGTGTAATCATTGTCTTTTTTTCAAAAGTGTCCCTATTGATAATAACTTTGTATTTATTGCAGGGTGTTTAATATGGGCAAATATGAAAAGATGAGATTAATGAAAAGTAAGTAATTACTTTATTGGGAGGTGAGATTTGATTAAAAATGCCTTATATTTTTGGATGGAGGGAGTAACTTTTAATACTTACAAAAATTTGATAGAAAATCTAATGCATGCACGTTGAAATTGTATACTTTTGAGGGTGCCATAGTTGGGAAGTTATGATAATAGGTGAGATCATGAGAGAGAAAATTTAAAGATAAAATTCTAATTATTTGTAAAAAAAATTATTTTAAAAAATTAATGCTAATGTGTATAGCCGATATAATTACAGCATTTTAAAAAATGCATACTTGTTGAGCTTAGAAGGTGGCTTGTGATTTTACTTACACACACTATAAATTTAAAATGTTATTATATTATTTATCATAATGAATAATATATTATTTATCACTCTTATTTCTATCTTGTCATGTGAAGTTACAATGATAGAAGAGTGGGAGAGATAATGAGGGAGGAATAAGAAAAAACTATAAATTTTGAAAAATCTGTCAAAAAAATTAAATCAGTTTTTAAAATAGAAATTTGAAATTACCAAAAAAAAGGTTAATAGAATTTATATTGGGGGGATTATATCCAACTCCTTCCAAAAGAATTTATTATAGATAAGGACTAATAATAAATTTCATTGAAAAAATAATTATATTTTTATTTTAATAACAATCCATTCTGTATTAATTTTTATTTATAATTAATTCAATAAGGAGGAGGTTGAATATAATTTTTTTTATTTATATTTGCGGTATTTTAATAAAAGATATCGTGTGAAGCTTGGAATACAGCTTACAATTTTACTTTTTTTTTTTACTTATATATATGTATATGCTATTGATCAGAAATCCATTTTCCGCAATATTTAAGCCTCTTAAACCACTGTACGTTCTCACGTAGAACAATTGTTGTGTTCACACTGCAATACTGCATACGGGAATGCTTGGTTTTTTATACTCAACACTCGTCTCTTCCCCAGGCGCCGAATGGTAATTATCTCACATCTCATGAAGTTATATTCCCAAGCAGACGTGACGGTTCAGTTTCTCACGCTTTCCTCGTCTTAGCGGTTCTTCTCTTTTAATGGTTCAGAACCTAAAAGGTTTGCCTTCTATCGGCCTCCCTTGGCGATTTCTTTGTCTTCTGGGGTCTCCCAAGGTGATCCTCTTTTCTCTTCGCCCTTTCTCCTTTATTTAATCGATCTAAATCATTTCCTTCTACTTCTTCGATGGTTCAAATATGTCTTTTTTTTCCCCTAATATTTTTTCTAATAATTGTTGTATTTCTTCTTCATGTATGTACTGTTCCATATGGTCTCACTAAATCTTATTTGGTATGATGGAAGAGTTTTTGATGGAATCAGAATTAAAATCAGAACAAAATTGAGTTATAAATGTATGTTTGGTAGGAAGATGGAATCTGAATATAATATTAACAAATATATGTATTTAAAATAGATAAAGACCGAAATGCTCTTTAAAAAAAATTAAAAACTCAGCCATTATGATAGAGTGTGTATGTGGGGCACTTATGACAATTTCATGAATTGTGTTAATTCCATCATGATGGAGATGGAATTGAATTCTGAGTATTTTGGCAGAATTGAAATCCATAAAGAATAAGCATGATTTTAATTTTAATTTCATTTCTCTTGAACCAATTCTAATGTATCAAACATGACTTAAAATGTCTCTGTGTATTGTTCCGTATGGTCAAACTGTAAGATGTCCCTGACACGCTTTTACAAACTAAACGAACTTGGGCAGGGCAGCCACCAAAGTTTTCTGGATCAATGATCGTGGATTCTTTTCTGTTTTCAAGTTACTCCGTGCTACAATAGTGGATGATGAGCTATGTAGTCTGTTCTTTTTGACGTTGTCAGGGGCATCGCATGATGCTTCTTGTCGAGTATCGATCTGTATCTGATAGATCGTCTGCTGCCTGTGTTAGCAGGCACACTGTTGTCCCTTTCTTTCTTATGTTTTACAGTCACATATTTTCTTCATGCCTCTTATATTTTTCTGTTGTTTCCCTAACTTTGTTCTTTTTAACTTGTAGATGGGTTGTGATGAATTGTTTTAATGCTACAAAGTGTTGTTCGATGTGGATTACTTAAAGAAGACTTATAAATGGTGGATCCAGCAGAGCCTTCTTCATACACGGGAGCTTCAATTTCCTGTGATTTCAGTTGGTTGTTATTTCAGATTATTTTCCTCCAAGACTTTGGCTTCGTTTCGATGCCTTTTATGTTTTTCATCCAGAATAGTACTCAACATCTCCCGTTAATTGTTGATGATAGTGTTTTCTCCCCATTCATCATTTCCCCGTATTTTATGTCTGCTTCGATGTTTTTCACATTCCAATTTTTCCGAACTAAATCGTTTCCTTTTCGGATTGCATTTTTGTATCCTTTCAGTCCACCGCTTCTTACGTTTTAGTCAATTTTGTACTTTGTATCTTCCTTTCAAGGAGAGATCTATCAGTGTTGTAATATTTGGGGACTCTATTGCTGATACATACAACTTGTACCGTTCGGACACATGAAGCCTCCTTTCGTTGTTGTCATTTTCCTCTGCAGTGTTAATTTGTATATCGGTACTTCTTAATTTCACATTCTTTTTAATCTTTGACTTGATATTGAACGCAAGAAATAATAAAAGGAAATGGAATTGAACAAATGAATTTATATGATGTTCGAATGTTCAACTATTGTACTAATTAAATCTAGTGTTTTTAACTATTGTACCAATTTCTTATAAGGCAATTGTAACGTGATCTCTATTTTAATTTTGAAGTGACTTGAGTAATTGGGGAATTGCAACTCGATGAATAACATAAGCCGTTTTTTTCCAAGTCAAGGTTCACATAAAAAGTTTTGAGCATAAAGTCATGCAATAAATTCACTGTAACTATGTTAGCACGTGTTTATAGCGTTAACAAAAATTCATTTTGAAGGGTCAAGAATTATAAGAAATTGCCTTAATGAAACGTTTAACTTATAACCAATTTCTAATTTAATTTATTTCATCTCTAGTATTAATTCCTGTGCGGAATTGGAATGAATATCTATTGAGAAAAGATAGAATGGATTTTTATAATTATACTAAAGTATATAAAATTTTTTTAGTCAACCAATTGAATTGTATCACTTTTTTTTGTTAAATAATTGAATAGTGTCGTTTGAAGGAAGGTTACTAAAAAATTATATTACAATTATATTCATGGTATTAAGACCGTACCGTTACATCATTTGTTTTATATGACATTTATATAAAGTAAGGGAAGAGAATATTATCCAATTTAAGTATTAAGACCCTATGGTTTTTGTGTTCGAAATAAGTTACACGGCAATCTTCATAAAGATAATCATCCAGCAAATATTAAATCTTCAGTTCAAAAGAGCTGAAAAACCGTGCATAAAAAAAAAAATCTGAAAAACCGAATTGTCAAAGCGTTATTTAGCAGTTTTTTTATTCGCATTTAGTATATTTTAATTGTAGATAATATTCAACAACTTTCATAGACTTATGTAGCCAAAATGAAAGACAATATTATCATTGCATCGAGGACTTCAATTATTCTAACGATTATAATTTTAAGTATATATGAATATTGCCCAGTATTTATATAAGCAATCAGCGTTTCTTTTTTTCTTTTTGGCCAAACAATTAGCGTTTCAGAAGTATGAAATTTTAACGACATATATTTATTTGACCGCATTCATAAAATTATGAACTTCATTCATGAACAAACCGGTCTCAGCCGCAATTGAATGTTTCTATCTTCAAAAATGAATTGGGAATATATTTTTTTAAAACAACAAAAAAAAAAAAAGTCAAATTCAACCAATTTACATGAATTTGGTATCCTTTCAACTCTGTACAACGCACAGGGATTAACGCTAGTTAATATTTATAGTTTGTTAACTTTGCTTTTATCATGCACGTCGTGTATAGTTTACAAGTTAGGACGCATAACAGGTAAAAATTAATTCCATCAGCGATTTACTGCAACGAGTTAAATAACTTACAAATCCCACGCAAGTTGGAAGTGAAATTTGCGATGTCTGTCTGAAGATCTAACTGTAGATACGATGATGACTTCCCCCTCTCGTCCTTGAAATTGTTCAAACTCAAACCCTCCCGACCTTAAAATATGAAACGCATACCCAGTTAACGTTTCAAGGCGAGGTTAAATGGTAATTCGATAAAGGAAGGCCCAACACCTCCTCCGACTAAATTCGAGGAAGATCAAAGTCCAATCAGAGTACTTGTATGATGTATCTTATTTTTGCAATTGCCTGAGGGCATTGATAGGAATGACAAAAACAGAATGAGGATAAAATTTAAAATTAATGAGAATTCTAGCGAGAGGATCCCCAGGCGAACTGACAGGGAGGCGTCGCAATATCCGAATACTCCCTCTCTCACAAGATGAAGATATAGACATTGTAAAAAGGTTAGTCTTACTTCACGTTGCAATTTTTTTTTTTTTTTGAGTTTCATTTACCGATACTCTTCCTATTACATGCTAATTTGTAACCTCAATGCATCATATAATAGTATTTAAGTAACTTGTTCTTGTCTTTTTGTTTACTTTTTATTAATTATAAAATTAATTACGGGTGAATTAAAAAATATAAAAATATTTAAAGCTCCCCCCCCCCAACCTGGTTTTATGAGAGCGGAGGAGAGAAAGGAACCAGGAATTAACTCAACAAAATCGCTTTCCGTCAATTCATAACCGCCACATGCACCTCAAAAAATTTGAAAAGTGTAAGCATCTAATTCAGGAATGATGATCCCAAGGTAGCATCAGTTTCCCGCAAGCGTGCTAGCCGTAATGCGCATCCGGTATTTGTTCAATAGGTAACTTCTGAATTACCTCAATCCTTTCCACAGCACCTTCATCAATAAAGAAATACAGAGAAGTATCAGCTGATCAATCTTGAAAATCTATTCACATTGAATCAAGTCCAACAAAGTTTATCCTTCAGTAGCAAAGAGACGAGAGAATTGAAAAATTGGGAAATAAACAGATTTTGCTACCTATGCATTTGTCCAAGAGTTTACTATCTATCATTAGATGACGGATCTTACACTTTGAATCTTTTTGGTCAGCTCTAAAGTAAATTAAATTCATCATATTTTTATTAAGATGCCACAAGGTAGCACGAAACTGAGGTTCCATGAATAATATGAGTACAAATTGGTAGGGATTCTTTTTTTGTTGTGAAAAAATATAACTTTTGATTCTTACACTTTGTTCATGTTTTGCTATAAATCCCTACATTCACTTCCACTTTTCGGCATTTTAGGTCCCTAAATGAACAAAGTATAGGGACCTAAAACACTGAAAAATGAGAGTGCAAGGACCCAAAATATTAAAAAAAAAAATATAGTAACCTATAACAAAACACAGGCAAAGTGCAAGGATCAAAAGTTCTTTTTTTTTTTTTTTTGAGGGGGGGAGGCTAGTGGCAACATAATACAATTAAAATAGAAAGAAAAATGGTCAAATTATTTGATTTTCCATACTAGCAAGATTATTCACTGCAATCAGTTAAATTATCGTGTCAGAAAGTCTAACAAATATCAAGGTTTTAGAAGTGATGACTGTCAGGGACAAATTCTTCATTTGGCCTCATAAAGTCACAGCATGATCTTAATCAGTCTTCAATTTTGTGAGAATTAAGATATATGTAAATTTGAATAACCCTTTTATCACAGGATTTGAAAACAGGGCCAAATTACCGCTTGTATCTCTTCTTGGAACCACATGGACAGAGCGCGTTCCTACTAACTTGTCCACTTTTGGCCAAATTAGACCTAGCCAAATCCAATGGAGTTGAACCCACCAGCTTTTGCACCTGCAGAACATACAATGCACATTTGGATATATTCAAAATCAGCATCTATACTAGCACCAGGAGAATCATCTGCACATTTTTTCTGAAAATTTTGGGTTTCAACAAAGCAAACAAGCACATCTTTAACCAAGTCTAACATATACTAGTACTTATAAATCACGCATATTTTGTGGCTAATTTTGTACAGAAAATTGATCCATTCCCTTCAGATATTAGCAATAACAATCACAATGTGCAAACAGAAATACATTAAGGCTTTATATTGTTTCTTTTTATTTGGAGAATGAGACTGTACTGTAGTCAACTGCAAGTTATGCTACCTCAGCTATGCTTTTTGGCATTGGTTTTCCTTCTTCCTTGAGCTTCTCTATCTTCTTTTGTGCTTCTTTAGCCCAAGTAAACTTCGAAAGTGCATTTTCCACATCAGAAATTGTGCAATTACAATGTTTTGCTGCTTCTTGTTTTTGAACGGCCTGGAGATTCTGAAAATGAGGAATGAGGAATATTAAGGTTACAGTTAGGTTCAGTAGAACTGTCAACAAATACAAGCAAATAAACAATCAATTCATAAATTCATTAAGCACATAAACTTCGATCATATAAGACAATTAGATAGTGCAAAATGTTGAAAAATGATGTTTGGAGCGAGGAACATTTTGGGCCGCAAGTAAGTGAATGGTGCACTCCAAAAAGTTTTAGATAATGAATTTCATATGTAATACGTTACTATGGCTGTTTTCCTGGTGGGTTAGTATCAGTTAGCAGGTTTTCTATTCTATCATAGTGCATTACAAATTCTAAAAAGAGGGCAAACGACCATATTATCAGACACCAGCTAATATGCTGACGTGTGATATCCAAGAGAAAAATTGAAAATGAAAGCATAGTCTCTATTAATAAAACTAGTGTTTCAACCATAAGCGCAGGCTCATGATCCCGATGTTAAAATATACAGGAATGAAGAAGACGAAGAAGGCGTCACGACTGAGGAATAAAAAAGGGATGGAAGAGAAGTAACCTCTCCAGTGGGGTCAAAACCTGCTAAACATCGAATTATTGCTTCCTGTTTCTCGAACGCATCAGCAAAGGTCGCTTCACTACTTCGGCCAACTATATACTGCTTGAACGCCCCCACTCTTCTTGCTTTCTTCATTTCATCCGCAAAGCCTTCAGAAAAGGAAGGGAAAATACATAAAGCTGAAGGACGGTTTTCCATAAAGGAAATGCGATCACGAATCACCTGAGATAGCTAAAGATTAGAGATTAAATGGCAGAAGGGTAATAGAACTCACGGAGGAGAGTGAACGAATCGGAGCTGATTTCGGATTCGTTGGAATCGGAAGTGGTCTTTTGGCCGGTGAAGACGCCCTTAACCTTCTCCATCCAGGAGGCATGGACCTGCGCTGAGGAGAAGATAGAGCGGCACTGTGACTTGCTTAAGATGCGAGCTCCAGCCATCCTTGATTCCCCGGCTATGCAGACTTTGTTCGATCTCGTATTTTCTCCTTCACCCGGAAATGTCTGATGATGGATTTTCCATCAGGCAACGGCGTCGTTTAGTTGCTCCACATGGTTCGCACTCGCTCTTGCCGCCCATTCGGTTTCTTTTCCATGGAAATAATATTTTCGGGCAGTGGAATTAGCTTCTTTAGATCGAAAATTCTGAATTTGTTTTCACTTCTAACCTGATTCTTTTTCATAAAAAAAAAAAAAGACACACATATCCACGCACACAACCCATGTCAATGTTGAATTTCAAGAGAGAGATGGTGTTTCTACTGTAGCAACTAGCCATTGACAAATAATTGTTTCTAAAGCAAAATGATTCACATGATAAAATCTAAATCTTTTTGCTTACCTGCACTTAAATCTGATATAACTCGTGACAATATTTGGATTTTAAATAGGAAGCAGAAAATTTCATGTTATATTTAACATATTTTTATAATATTATTCAATAACTTTTTTATTTTTTAAAAAATAAAATAAAGACGTTTGAGTAATATCAGTTTCCTTTAATTCAAATAAATAAATAAAGACTTTCCTTCCTGACATTATTTTTTATTTCCTTACCAAATAAGACCTTTGTCGTTTTCATTTGTCAAGTTTCATTGCATACGGGGACAGAAAAATAGAACAATCGAAGCCAAAAATAGGATGACCTCACAAATTTGCAGTAAGCCAGTGGCAGTAACCATTGGGTCAGGCACTACATGCAGTCTTTCCCAAGTCCGAAGGATATTGGGGGTGGAAAAAGAAAAGCTGGCTAGCTGAGTATAGATTACAAGCCAACTGGATTCTGAAGAGTGAAAAACAAACATACGCTATGAACTGGCTTACTTCTAGGGATAACTAAATCCCAAAAAATTGGACAGGAATTGAATTTAGAGAGGCTCTTGGACGGTTCTAGTTTCTCTCTCTTGGTAATTGTGCAACCGTTCTTTTCGCAATGTCAACGGATAATCCTGATAGGCTAAAGGTACCGTCGGACAAACCTACCGATGGAGCATCTCTGGATAGTAACAAATAGAAACACAAAACTCTCAACAGTGATGAGAAAGATATCTCTATGGATGACCAAATGAGCAACACAGAGGAAAGTCCGAAAAAAGAACAGAGCATCTTGGGAGACCAAAATAGCTTGGAGAACCAAAAACATGTAGCAAAGCATATCTCATACCGAGACTCCTTGCTCGATTTTAATGAAGTCGCTAATGGTGATATACAAGTTGAAGATGAAAAGATGTTCAATGTAGAGTGGACGATACCTGAACCCATTAAAGAACCCAAGAAACTGATTGAGATATATCCGGTGGTCCCAATAATTGAGGAAGAATACAGATCATGGTGCCAACCGTAGCACAGATCCCTCATCTTCACACTGTTAGGTAAAAGGATTGGTCTCTATGAATTAAAAGAATATCTCATGCTACTCTGGAATATTCTAGATTTTGAAATCATTGATCTACCCAATAATTATTTTCTCATCCAATTCAATGAGGAAAATGAAAATTGGAAGGCTCAATACCAAAAAGTCCTCTTGGAAGGGCCATGGACAGTGAGACAACACTACATTTTTGTATAGCATTGGACGCCATATTTTGACCCCTTGCAAAACTCCTTAGGTCGAACAGCAAGTTGGGTTCAGATTCCAAATATTCTCATGCAATGCTATAACCATAATTTCATTTGGCGACTTAGAGACAAGATTGGAAGGACACTGAAAATTGATCTGAACACTCTGGCTAAGTTGGAGGATAAAGAAAAGAAAGTGGAAAGAGGGCAATTTGCCCATATCTATGTTGACTTCGATCTTCAGAAGAAACTAATACCTAGATCATGACAACAAATGTTTTTTTTTTTTTAATGTAGAATATGAAGGGTTGAACGTGGCATGCTTTTCTTGTGGAAGGTATCGACACAGACAGGAAAATTGCTTTTATGTGCAACACATAGTCAACTATAAACATGGCTATAAACAAGGCATTTTTGTAGCTGAAGAAAAGAAGGTGGAAATGGAGCAAAAACTTTCGGTAGCCGGTAACATATTCGGCACCTAGATGTTTCATGAGCATCCGAAGGTAGCTCAGTTCTCGAGATGGAATGAAGGTACTAGCACGTAAAGAAGGATAGGTAACAGGAAGGATTTTGTCAAGAAGGATGATATTCCTATCACAGCATCATGGTTTGTAGCCACAGCAAACCTACAAGAAGAAGAAATAGTAGAGGTAAAGGCTACATTGTAAAGTTACCTTTACTAATCTACCGTTAACTTCAAAATTAAAGTAATCATGGCACTAATCTAAACGAATTATCAAGTTTGTAAAATTTATATAAATGAAATTTCAAGTTTTTAAAACTTATAATACTATAAAATTATTTAAAAAAATAAAATCAAAGCAAAATATGTATACGAAAACATGGGTATCATACAAAATAAGACAACACCAAATTGGGATCAAAAGAACAAAAATAAAGATTCTAACAAAATGCACTACAACATAAAATTTTATGTTGCAGCATTAACTGCAGAACCTATGATAGCATGGCAGATTTCCTAGCCAAACTTTTGATGTACACCAAATCTCTATTTGACATTCAATTAAGGTAATTTAGGTATCTATAAAAAGCTTTTTTTTGAGCTCTAGCTAATGACACTGGTTTCACATTCAAATCATTTCTCAATTAAAAGTTGAACACCAAAATACAAGCTCACTCATTCATGCTTTTAAAACACAACTAGGATGTCCAAAAGTCAATCCAAGTGCAAAAAGCTCACACTAACCCTTAGATCACACTCAATGAACTATAACAAACTCGTGTAATACACCACAACAATCAAACAATACACATATTACATTTTCATCACTCAACTCTTAATCACAAAAATATAAGGGGGAGCCAAATCATGTAATTTCACATATAAATTACCATCATTGACAAATATACTCACTCCTCACTTGCACAAATAATTTAACCTTACCCGAATATCTCAACTAAAAAAAATACCACATGCACTAGGGCCTAAAATACACATTTCAATACTCAATATTTAATGGTACAAGTATAACAAAATATGAATATCCTAATTGACAATACTATGACAATTACACATTAATCAAAAGTAATTGAAGCATTATAGTAGGAAATTTAATTCCTAAACCTCATATGTCTTTCCCTTGTTCAAACCAAAGCTAGCACCTGTAAAATGTTAAATGAAAGGTGAGTATAACCACTTAGCAACTAAAATTAATCTAGCCTATACAAATACATGTCAATTAATTATAGATGCAAATAATAATTAAATAATTTTACAAGAATCACATACATATTTTACAATTATAGTCTCGGCTACAAAACTAACAAACATGTCAGTGGGCATTAATTAATGTATGTTTTCACATTTATTTTGAAAATGCATATCTTGGGCTCACAATAATAACAACTATGCGCTCTATAATGAAAATAAGCTGGACCACAATAATAACATCCACGAGGCCAAAAGTAGAATGCATGATCAATGCCAACCTTATACCCTTTTGATACCTTTAACATGAAACCAGTGTCTATTTAGAGGCAACGCCCAAAACCTAGACTAACCAAGCCTTTTACATGTAAAGAACTACTAGATTAGGGTTAACTCACTCACTCGTGTTATACGATTTTTTCTAATACTAACAACCATAGGGTATCATGTCTCTAATCTAATTTTCTCATTAACCAATAGAGACTAGTTAATTTGAATCCTTTAAAGAGCAAGTAGGATGATCCCAAATCAACCATGAAATAATGGCCACTCCCAATTCCAACGGTCAGTGCTAAGATAAACTTTCAATTCTAACGGTAAGCCATCATTACCATGTGAGTTTGCCAATCTACTCCTCCCTATAAGTGAACTCCTGCCATAATGATCATGCCATGCACAAATAGTAAGATGTATGCCATTCAAATAACAATAATCACATCATATCATGCTCACATAATTCTCTTTCTCCATTATAATTCACATACCACAATCATATTCATCATACTCCACATGCCAAATATCACATGTTTATCGGCTTCACAATTACATGCTTTCATTTATTAATAATCATATGAATATACATATGTAACATTCTCAACAATTCAATGCTATTTCACACACATAATTTATCATGTTGCCATCATTGCATCAAAACTTAATTTTACAAATATCACATGTTTACCAATTAATACTAACAATAATTTTAACAAATGGAAATGGCACCAAGTCTTCGCCCACACTTGCCAGTTATAGTGGCTCACAAGGTATAAGCTGATTTTTGAAGGCAAAAGAACAAATCCAAATCAAATCAAATACACATACATCCACAAATTTGTTGAAGATTCAACCATAAAGCTACATAAGAGCATCACCTTAATACCCAACAAGACAAGTAACAGGAATTGGAAGCCCCCACATTAAGGAATGCTCCAACTTGATGTAGATGGCTCTGTTATAACTAGTAGACATGCAGTGTATGGAGCTATTGTTTGAGATTCTTAAGGCAACTAGGTTTTAGGATTTAGATGAAGTTTGGGTCGATTCCCAATGGCAATTGCAGAGATGCTAGGTATTCAGATGGGGTTACATATATGTAAGCAATGAGGTCTTGATAAAATCTAAATGTTTACTGATTCCTTGGGTGCATTGAATCTTATTTGGAGGGATAATTTGATCAATCATCATATTGAGACAAATATTCAAAATACACGAATACTTGTGTGTGAAGCTTGGGATGTTACTTTGCACTTTGCTAGTAAGGAATGTCTACAAGTCGCCGACTTTCTGGCCGAGACAGCTCACTTAGAGGAGGAATGCCTTATTGTTTTTGATGAATTTCCTAATGTTTGTATTAACCCAAGATTGAACTTTATTAGATCTGTTAATTATTAGTCAAGCTTTAGCTTGCCTTTTCGTTGGGGAAAAAAAACTAAATCCCAAAAAAATTAATTTATTTGACATAAGTCCTAACTAATTTCAAAATCCCAACAAAGTACTATGATATATTTTGATATAAAGTTTTGAAAAAAAAATAATCTTTTAATCCTTCAACTTTTAACTCACTTATAATTTAATTCCTCAACTATAACTTGCTTATGATTCATTCCCTCAACTTTTAACTCATTTATAATTCAATCCCACAACTTTTGTTTATTCTCTTTTTTCATATTAACTTAGATCCTACATCAAAAAACAAGAGAAATGTATTTTAGAGCAATATACAAGCATTTATTCTATTTCTCTTATTTGATAAGAATAATTTTAAAAAAATAAAAAATAAAAACTGAGTTATAAATAAATTAAAAGTTAAAGAACTAAATTTAATAATTCATAATTGAGGAACTGAATTACAAATAATTTAAAATTAAATGACTAAAAGACTAATTTTTTTTTAAATTTTTTTACCTCTTCTTTGATCTCTATGTAATCCACGTCTTATCTTTCTTAGAAGCTGTCAAACTATTTTTGCCCACTTCTCTCTCCTCAACATTTTGTCTCTCTCGTCCTCATTTCATCTGCATAAAAGCTAAGAATCATGCCTCAACTCCAATCATCAAGCACGATCTGAGAAATCTCCCTAGATAAGGAAGTTAGGAGACATGTCCCATGGTCCTCTTCATCTCTCTCTCCTTACCAAGTCCTGTTGGCTCAATCCATCTCTCTCCAGTCCTTTAATTCATTCACTGATCGTGTTTCCTTGTCCAACTTCTCATCGCTCATCAATTTCTTCCCTTTCTTCTTCATTTAACTCAACCACTATTGTTTCTCGTTTGCCTCGTTGGGTTGGTTCCTCCATTTGAGCTTCCACGATTGATACCCTCAATAATGCCATTGAAAGCCAATCCAACCCTCATAATGTGGTTAGGACAAGATTCATTCACCATGTAGGCACTACTTCCAAATTGCTCAAGATCTTATTTTGCTCCTCAAAGAATCGCTTCGTGTTTGTTCGCCAATCACGAGTGTATCTTCAACAAGCTTTGTTTCACCTAGCTGGGTATGAGAGCGTTGGGTTGAGTCTGATTCATCAATTGGATTTCGTGGGTCAGACTTGGCTCTGTTTCTCAAGCTGAGAATCCATCTGGATTTTCACCAACTTGGTGAGAGAATTTCTAATGTATCAAAATGTCACTTAAAGACTATAAGACTTTGTTGGTATTCTTGAAATTGATTGGAACTCGAGTTAAATAAATTGATTCCTTCAAAAACGTAAGTCGTCATTCTCCCTTACTTCTATGCCTGTTGGGCCCAATTTATCAACAAAAAAACAGAGAAGGTGAAAACTGAGGGTAGAAGTTAGACCTCATCAAAAAAAATAAAAGGAAAGGAAAGAGACAAGAAGAAGAACTGAGAAGCATTACCCGAGTTGAGAAAAGTTATAACTAGATACAACTCACTCAATGTCACTCACTACAATACACGATTTAGAGTTAACGTCAGTTGCAAAATATAATGAAAGCTAAATTACATTTTTATATCAATGTCAAAAAAAAAAATTTAAAGGAAAAAAAACCGAGCCTTTCCACAATTTCACCCCCAATATTGTAACTCGTCTTCCTGCTTTCTGAGGAGCCTTCGTCAAAATCATGATGATTCTTCTCTATCGAAACACGTGCAAAAAGGTTGACTTGCCTGCACATTTAGATGTGCCAATGACTATAAGACATGTCAACTCTACAATCTCCCACCAAACGTATCACTGAGTTGCCCGATAAATGGCATTCAGAGCAAAAGCACAATGAGTGCACTCAGACGATTGGGAGCTACTTCTTGAGCTTCTATTACAATTAAGCCTTCGAGCGCCTAAATTCAAACCATATCTCGTAGTGATTAAAGAGCAAACTATCATGAGTATGCTTCCCTAGATACTCAAGCCCCAAATCCATGAGCCTCTTAGTGCATTCTTCCCCACCCAGTCGTGAACAGAATTTTATGTTGTGTGATACAAAGATTCGTCCGTCATAAGGTTTCAACCTAGTGGCTAACCTCTCCAGCCCAACCCAAACAAGCTTATCAGGCATATGAAGAAATACGGCACTAGCATATATCAAATCATACATGACTCCAGAGCCAAGCTTACTGAAATCCATGTCCTCCCCCTTCACTATCAAAGGGCGTTTATTCAAGAGGCCTTGGGAGGGAAGCTCATACCTAAATGCAGCCATAAGGGAGAGCTCATCCCTTTCAAGGCAATGAAAGCGTTCTGGGTTTAAGAACCGAATAAAATGCAAGCCAACTCGGAGAGTACCACAACCAATCTCTAAGACACGGGAGTCTGGTTTGAGAAGAGAGGACTGAGCAAGAAATTCAAACACATCTCTTCCACCTGCCCAGGGCTCACCATAGTTGCTGTGGTGCTCTTCAACCAGGAGCTCCCCCGGGCAAGGCAGTGCAGTGTGGTTATCTGATTCAGGTCCCTCATAGTGTGATATGCCCTTGAATCTGTAAACAGGCAGAAATACCATATATCTATTTTTTTTTGCCAAAAAAAAATACTATATAATTCATACCAAACAAATTGAACTTAAAAATTGCAACCAAATGCATCGCTGTGCACAAATTAAATAAGCAAAGACAGCATTTTGAGGCCTTTGAATTACGCTAAGAGAAACAAAATAGAGCAGTTTTCAAGTTAAGAGACGTCATGAAGAAGATGAGCATTGTTTATTCTATAGAGTGCGGTGATAAAATTGGCACATCCAAAAAAAAAAAATTGTGTATCAAACTAAAATGACACCGCATAGAGGTTTGGAGTACATGTTTCGTGGTGTTTAAGTTGAACAAATCCTGCCATTATCAGAAACCAGACAGATCATGTCAGCATCTTGCAAATTACAAAACAACATCGGAAAGAAAGGAACTATATATACAATTAAATCGCAGTATTAAAATGGGCGCAAAAGCAAATTAAAAAACAAAAAGAGGTGACAGCGTTAAAACTCTACATCTTCGCGACCAGGCAAAATCAACAAAATTATGCAGATTTGTCGGCACAAGCAAAAGTTTCCTGACAATTACACTTCCATTCCCTTCCTTAAATCTGTCAAACCTTGCTGTATCATGCGCGTTTACCATATATTCCTTAAATTCATTTAGTAAATCCTTGATCTCGATTTCTAATCATTTGAATTTTGTTTCAATTATGTCTTGCAAGCTAGAACTTCAGTTAAAATGTATTTATGACGACCGACAGTCGTAGATAACCACTAGTAGGAATATATAGCTAACGATCAAAGGAGAGCCCATGAATAGAGAGGTATCTCAGACCTAAGCTACAGTTCATTTCAGACAACAACAAGACAGCTACTGTAAAAAGAATGCACAAACTGAACCCAATAAATGGATGACAACAAGATCAACGGGTCTTACTGTCTAAGATCCTCGAGTTGCTGAGCCCTAGTGCGAGGGTTAATGCCCTTGCGGAGCACGTTATCATGCATATGAAGCCCGTTCAACTGGATCTGATATTTAACCCACTCTACGTCCTCCTTCGTCGTCGAAAAGAGACTATTGCCGCCAAAAGTCCCTGCGATATCATTATGAAAACCGTTGCCACTGGAAATAGGGGTGTCAGTAGCTGAAGGGCAAGAGCAAGAAGAGAGAGTTGACAAGAGGAAGAAGAGGAAAATAGCGGCCACTAAGGCAGAGAGAACCAGAGCCGGCACCGTTACCACAATGCCCTTCGACGCTGCCGGCGACGATGAGATTGCCATCTATGATTTATCCCGTTTTCGATGCCTGCGCGAGGCAGACTCCAGTCCCCAGCTCAGGGTCGGCGACGGATCTTCCTGTTTAGCCATCGCGCCAGGTCGTTTTGTTGGCACCCGGCACATCAACGACAGCGTTTCGAATCCGAGAGCCATCTTATATTATTACTATTATTAGAGTAAAATACACTGACAATCTTTCTATTATATTATACCTTAATTATACAAAAAATTTTTCTATTTTAAAAACTCATATAAACTTCTCTTAAAATTAAAATCTATATCATAAGAACCTTCTTCGTATATTTGAGATTACATTTCCATTCATCTATTGAATTTGATTTTAAAAATTTTGATTTGACCAAAATACCCGTTTTAAACATAAGAATTATCTAAAAATTTATACTTGTCAAAAAATTTGCATACAACTAAAAAAATATAATAAATAAATTTTCAAAGTTTTATTATGTTACCAAACTTCCCCTCTTAAATATAAGAATTATCTAAAATTATATATTTTCCAAAAAATTTGCATACAACTAAAAAATTATAATAAATACTATGTTACCAAACTACCCCTCTTAAATATAAGAATTATCTAAAATTATATATTTGCCAAAAAATTTGCATACAACTAAAAAATATAATAAATACATTTTCAAAGTTTTATTATGTTATAAAATTTATTAATTTTTATTATATTATAAAATTTTATAATTTTAATATTTATCAAATTTATTTATTTATGTTTTTTAAAATTGCTAAAAACATATTTTTAACAAACATTTATAAACACATTAATTTAATTTTAAAAAATTAATTCAATTTTCAATCAATTTTTTGATATCTTCTTTAACTTAAAAGTTACTTAAGATTTTATTCCAATTTGCTATGAACATTAATCAATTGGCCAAAAAAACATTAAGAAAAAAACTATTTTCTAAAAAAATAAAAGAAAGAACAAGAAAACTCTTAAATTAGAAAAATCTAACCAGAATGTGAAATACAAAATAAGCACGCAATTATATTTCAGTGGCTTTATAATATCCAATAACTAAATTTGAATTTGAAATGAGAAGACAAAGCATGAGATAAATCCTATTATGGAGAAGCATCTGGATGCATTGGAGTAATAGTTGAATGAGGACCATTAAGAACTCTACCAGACCTGATATTATATAAAATCAAATAAGAAGTCTATTAATAAAGCACTCCAACATATTTTACAAAAGATATCAAACACGACAAATTTAATGTCATAAAAACCTTATTCTTTATTCATCTAACTACAATTTTTGATGTTTCTCCTACTTGCAGTGAAGTTTGCTCTTGAATTATTTCTTTAAATGAAGTATGTGATGCATTTACAAAACCTCCCTGTAAAGAAAAATGTGTAGTAAAAGTAAAAAATATTATATATAATTGTTGGTGAGAAATTAAGGTGTAATATATTACTTGTCTATTTCTCTTGACTTTGATCGAAACTCTTTGACAACTTCTTTTATTATGTCCTAACCCTTCACAATTAGCACACTTGATTGTTGGTAGTCTTCGTCTTGCATTTGATGGTATGCTATCATCTTTTTCTCTTCTTCTACTAATTTTAGGCCCCCTTGAAAGTCTACATAATGGGGGTGGAAGGATATATATTTCTTCCACCATACTTAAATCTAGTAACGGGTTGATTATACCAAAATATGTAGCCATGTAATTTGTTTTGCTATAATAAGCATCACAGCAATCTTATACTTTTGCCCTTATATATATAATGGCAGCTGCACCATGTTTACAAGGCAACCCACCATGTTGCCATGCTTGCACTGACACGTATGAGAATTTAAGTTCACGTGAATTCTTGTAAACCTATCATATGCTTCAAATAGTTTATTGACAGCTATATATACTTTACAATGTCTCCCATCTCGCATGATCTTGTTTATTTCATCCACAATTTTAGTGCCAATATTTTGTTTCCAAGATGCAGTAGAATGAAACTTCTTATAAAACCTCATCATAATTTCTGACCTTAACCCATCTAATAAATTTAATACATTCATATTTCTCAAGTCATTTATCCACTTGTTAAAAGATTCACAAACATTATTAGTGACATGTGAACTTTTGCAACTCTCATAAAATGCATGTCGAGTCCAATTGTTTAAGGGAATAGACATCAAATAATGGTATGCCTTATCATCATGTCTTCTCATTTTTTCCTTCGCTTTCTTGAAAATAAATTCATTTGAAGCTTTAACAACATCCAAAAAAGTTCTCGTAAGACTAGTAATGGAAATTTAGCCTTAAAATTGTTAACTAAATGCCTATCACAATGCTTATGCCAGGAGTTTGGAAAAAAATTTATGGCCACTTATGTAATCCCTACATCCAACAAAAATAAAATCACATAAATATGCAATTATAACATAAGATAGATGGGAAAAATATTTAATTTTGAAAATAAAAACTATCACTATTGCCTGTCACTCATAATTATATAACGGTTATCCCTTATTGCATCATTCAAATATTCTAAGAAAAAACTCCAAGATTCCGTAAACTCTACCTTAACCACAGCATATGCTGATGGGAATAGTCTATTATTTGCATCAAGCAAAACCACACATAGCAACACACCTCCATATAGACCTTTTAAGTGGTAGCCATCTAACCCAAAAAAAAAAAAGGTTTACAACCTTTTAAAAAGCCATCTTTACAAGCAGCCAAACATACAAAAATTCTTTTGAAAGTAAGGCTTTCTTTAAATGAGAACCTATCATAATAACTTAATTTCACTGTGCTTCCCCTATTTTTTTTCCAATAATAATTCTACATATTTTGGTATCTTCTTGTAACTTGCAGCATGGGAAACTTCACATTCTTCTCTTCCTTTTTTCCTTGCCTTATATTGTTGCATTCGATGAGCCTTAACTCCATATTTTGTAATCAATTCATTATCCATTAATTCTCAGCTCATTAGGATCAAGATTCAAAGATCCTTTCAATTTATATGCTATCCAAGTAGATGCAGCATTAGGTTGATTAGTTATCCTTATACAAGTGTGTCTAGGTTCATATGTCTTTATCATAGTTACACCATCGAGGGTGGGAGAAGCATGGATTCTCCAAGGACAACTATATGAAGCACACATAGCAGTCACCCTTGCTTTCTCATTTTGTACTCTAATTATGTCTAAATTCTCTTGAATTACATAATCCCTCAAAACACTTCCAAACTCATTCACATCAATAAACAACAAATCTCTTTCTAAATGCACTTTGCCATTAACGTCATACTCAAATCTTTTTCCCTTGACATTCTTAACAATGTCAAGGATTTGAGACTTTTCTGCATTACTATCACTTACAAAATTTTCAGTGCCATCAATGTTATTTGAGGATCACTACCTTCATTATCCTCTGCATTATTCAAAATACAATCATCAACAATCTCTTCACTCTCTTCGTTGTCTTCAACTTCATGATTAGCATAATCCTCTTTAGTATCTGTAAACAATTTATCAATAGGATGCTCATTTTTATCCCAATTATCAATATCTTCAACATAAGTTATATTATCCTACATTAAATGGAAATTTTTAAGTTAAAATAAAAATAAAATCAAATTTAGGTGTGTTTATATGTGTATAGATTTTCAAAGATAGATCACACTACTTTATCATTATCAAAATGAATAGATTGAGCACCAATGATTTAATATTCGATCAAAATCTTGTCTAATTGTTTATCATTATCCATTAATTGATATCACATGCATGTTTGCCAATGATTGCCAGGGAGTATATAAAATTTCACCCCCCACACCTTATAAAAATCAAAGCAACATTTGATTAAAATAATGCTTAGCACCTATCAACTAACAGTGGAGGCAATATGCCCATTAGAGGCAAACACGTTCATCGCACTTATCAAGTGATAGTCTCCTTCCTCCCATCTCTCACATAACATTTTTAGAAGCCTAACTCGTAAGTATAAGAGAAAAAGAAAAGAGTATGAAAATATTTGATGGGTATTTTTTTAGCTTGCGTTGTTTCTGTCACCTCCATGGATTCTCAGGTTTTTCTTTCTCTGTGGCTTTTTTTCTTCTTCTTTACAAAGAAATTCATGCAACCGTCAAAATACAATGATTTAGGGATTCAGTAAGGTGAGGGGCAAATTAGTAAATACAAGTTATTTTAATATAAATTTTAATCTAAAATCAAGTTTTTTAAATCTTTTTAGAACATTCCTAACGGTGTTAACAAATTAGACTAAATTATACGTTTTCAAAATAGAGGGGAGGTTTGTGTAACTAAGGCAAAATAGACGGGTAGTTAAAGTATTTTACTCTTATTATTATTATTACTACTCCTGCAACTACTATTACTGTTATTATTTGTTAACCAAAAGAAGTAAGAAACTAAATGAAACCATCAAATTCAACTAAAGTTAATGTTAGTGACAAAAGATTTTGTGATTTAAATAAATGTTTAAAAATTTAAATCTCAATTTATATTCATACAAAAATTTAATTGAAAGATATATATTTTTATATAGAGATAATTTTTATTATTGGAGAAACCTACTATAACATTCTCTTTTTTCAAACCAAATTATTGAACATTGTCATAGCACTTAAATGTCTGTTGTGGTGAATAAAATCATACCTATCTTGTAAATTGCTTATCATGGTAGAAAAATATTTAGTATGGTAAAAAAAACTATCATTCTAAAAAATTATCATGATGTGAAAGAGTCTATTATGGTAGAAAATAATCAAACAACTGTAACAAGCTTTATTATAATAGAAAATAATTTTTGTTATTTCAATCAAATAACTCAATTTTGAAATTGGCCACTATGGTAAAAAATAATCTACCATATTATAAAGGATTAAACTTAGCAAAACAAGCCTACTACCTCAAATAAAAGTTTGCTAAATCATAAGTAGTCGTCCAAATGAGTTCATATTTTAAATAAGGGTCAATAAATTAACATATTGACATAAATCATACATAATTAGTAAATATGGTAAATAAGGGTACTTAGGTTCAAACATACGTTTACTAAAGGAATAAAGGTTAAAAGGGATCGATTTGGAAGTTTGAAAATGTAAAAGGGACATTTTAGATAAAAACAAGTTTGTTAATGGTAAAAGAGTCCAAAAAGAACATTTCAAAAGCTAAAAACTTACAAAAACAATTCTATAAATACATGTCATTCACGCAACACATGACACTAAAAGTTTGTCTATCTTCTTTAAGTGGCACATAATCAACAATGCGATAAAATGAATACTAAAATTAAATTTCAAATAGACATGCATAACTTTTCACACACAAGTCTAAATCGAGTAATTCAAGTGATCACGTAAAATTTATTGTATAGTCTAATTATTGGCTTTAGTCTAACATAAAAATATGTCCATATGGCAATTTTATCCACAAAAATTCCTCAAGTGTCTCAACATATTTTTTCAAACAATTAACTTCACCAACCCAATGCCAAAGCCAAAACTACTATGTGAACCATTTGAGTATATCACATACGGCTTAAACAATATATTCAACTTGATAATTTACTTATACACATGAAAATATCCATAGTTGAGTTATGGTCACCTAACACAAGCATAATAAAAAACTTAGTAAAATTCACAACCACATTAACCAATGTACTTTCAATGCATAAAACATGTCAAAATAGAACCACAAGTGTCAAAAACCTTTCTCATTGCTACAATAAAAAAATCTAGTTCCTAAAGCCATGAGTCATATGCTCAAATCACATAATCCATGCCCTATGTTGTCAAAATATGCATGATCAGTGTTGTTACTGGCGTAACTTGGGATGCGTCCTTTATTTATGGTCAGTTATAAACCTTAGCACGTTAATACATGTACCTTTACTTTTGAATATATGAACCTGGGCTTGTTAGTATTGTGAAATGTAAATTACAGGGCAAATATAGTTGTGTATTTTTTACAAGTTACTTGGGTAAGATTTACAATATAAAGTCTATATATAACAATCAAAATTCAATTATTTCTAGTGAAATGTTCGCTTATCAAGATCATGTGATTTTGATAGTTAACATTTGTGATCGAAAATTTTTTACAACAAAAAGTCTATAAGTAACAATCAAAATCTAGTTATTCCTAAAAAAATGCCTGCTTACCAAACTCATGTGATTTTGACAATTAACATCCATGACTGAAAAAATCTACAATAAAAAACTCATAAATAATAACTTGCTTTTATTAAATTAACATAAATATGCAAATTAACTTGGATAATTCCATGCTAGTATTGACACTTATATTAAAAAGTGCTGGCATGAAATTTTACATCAAACTTCATGTTTGAGATATAAAAAAACTCATCAACTATATCCAACTTGAAATTTACAAGATTAAATTTATGAGTAACCCATGAAAAATTTATAATAAAAAGTTCATAAATAATAATCAAAGTCTGTTTATTTATAACAAAATGCCCATTTGGATAAATATAACAATTCATGGGTGTGACCCTCTCCGTTCTCACAAACCAAAACTGGCTCTTGAGTGAAATTCTATATGAAGTAATCCTCTCCGCATAGCTTCTATAAAAGGCAACATCATCTTTATAGGAAGCAATTGTTGGAAGCTTGTGAGGAGGCACACTTTAAGAAAGCAATGAACCCTTGCACTATTAATTGTAAGAGAGAGAAGAGATGTTATATCGGGGTTCATTAGAAAAAAAAAAAGTCTCTAAAAATACTTGATGACAAGGAGAAGAGGAAGATATTAATCATGCGCAGTCATTGTGATTATTTGTGATCTCCTTCCATCTTCATATACCATCCATGAAGAAAATGCTTGTTGGAAGAGGAAGAGGAGGAGAGAGGAAGAAGAGCAAAAGAAAGAAAATGCAAGGGGTAACCTAGTCATCTCTATAGGGAACTAAATTGCAAAGGATCCCCTTGGGCCTACAAATACATATCAAAATTATTTGGGCTTTATTCGTAAATTTGTTCATTTCCAGGGCCTTGAATTTGATTCTTCTTTTTTTTTAAATTTAAGTCACTCAAATAAGTCCAAATAAATTTGGGCCAAGCTGAACTCAAACGGGCTTAACTCAAATAATTAATTTGTTATTATTAATAAAATAAAATTAACCTTTATGTTGATAAAAAAATTATCCTTTACTTTAACTTTCACTTAACAATCACAAACCCCCTATTATACTCTACATTTGCACATTTTGTGTTGCTGAATAAAGTTTTGATATTTTAATAACTATTTGTTTTGAATGTTATTTGAAAACATTAAGGAAAATTAAATACAAGAGCTTGCTTTATGAGCTTTTATATTTACACTTTTAATGCTTGGTCTTACATTAACGAGGATAGAAGAAAGTGTGTCATAGTAGCATGGTAGTTGAAAAATCTTAATTTTTTAAGATAAACATTAAAATTAGCTAAAAAAAGAAAATAAAATAAATAATATTTAATAATTTGAGTATTTGAGTCATCCCAAGTAAGTTTAAAAGCTGATATATGAATATTGGGCTTGATTATATAGGTTTTTTTTTAAATTACTAGCTTTACTTATGAGGTAACAAGGCTTTTGATGGCGCAGAGAGAGAGAGAGTGCGCGTGCACATGAGCCCCCAATCATGGGTTATGCAAAATTGCAAAGCATAAAATCATGGAAGAAAATAGTTAGATCCTAGCTCAAAGCATCTACAAAATTTTGAATAAGTACATACCACAGAGATAGAGCGATTAATAAAATTAAGGCTAAAATATATATTTGTTATTTAATTTTATATAAAATTTTATTTTAGTCCTTTAATTTTATAAAATGTCTTTTTACTTCTATAACCCTAATATTGTTAGTTTTATTTCAATAAATTTTTACATTGTACTTTTAAATATTGACAAAATATTTTTAAATTTTGACATATTAAGTTTAATTTTTTTAAAATAATAATAATTGACACAAAAACAATCATTTGAAACTAATAGTGTTGGGATTAAAGGAATAAAAAATACTCATAAAATTAGATAACTAAATTGAAACCTTATATAAAATTAGAGGATTAAAAGTATATTTTAATCTAAAATTAGAGAGTAAAATATATTGATAACTCTTCTATTATATATTAATTACACAAACCTTCTGTTTATTTTGAAAACTCATGAACTTTTTTTTATATATTTGAGATTTTATTTTTATCCATTCAATTGTTAGTTAACCAAAATACCCCTTTTTAACATAAGAATGATCTAAAAATCTATATTTACCAGACAAATATTTTTTGTATACAACTAAAACAATATATAATAAATATATTTTGAAATTTCTATTTCATTATTAAATTTATTAATTTTTATCACATTACAAAATTTTTTTTTATCAAATTTATTGAAACCTATTTATTCATGCTTTTTTAAATTTTCTAAAAAAATATATTTCAAACACATATTTTTTTCATCACATAACATAAAATGGTATAAGGTCAAGAGATTATATAAAAAATTTAAAATTTGTAACCATATTTTTACAATAAAATTATATAATGGGAAAATAACAATTAAGGACCTTCTAAAAATATTGACTCCAATTAAGAACCATAACATTTTAAAATCTTAGTTAAGGATCATGGTTCCATAATTGAAAAAAAAATATAGTTTATGAGGTGGGATTCACTAACGTCACTTGAAAATTTATTAACCCAATTCAAAAAAAATTACTAACATATATTGGAAAAGCATGAAATCCCACTTGATAATTGATTGTTTAACAAAAAACATTACTCAAGAATTCATTAACCTGACTTAAAAAAATTTCTAACGTACATTGTGAAAACATGAAATCCTACATGGGAATCAATTATTTAAAAAAAACGTCACTTAGGAATTTACTAACTAGACTTGAAAAAATTTCTAACGTATATTGTGAAAAAATAAAACTCCACTTGGGAATCGATTGTTTAACAAAAAGTGATTTGTTCAAGTTAAGGTTTTTTGTCAAACAATCGATTTTCAAGTTTTACAATATACATTATAAATATTTTTAAGTTAGGTTAGTAAATTTTCAAGTGATATTTTTTGTTAAACAATCAGTTTTTAAATGGGGTTTCATATTTTCACAATATATGCTAGCAATTTTTTCAAGTTGGGTTAGTGAATTCTCAAGTGATGTTATTGAGTTTCACCTCACAAATTACATTTTTTTTATCCCAATCAAGGATCATGGTCCTTAATTAAGATTTCAAAATATTATGGTCCTTAATTGAGATTAATGTTCTTAAAGGATCCTTAATTATTATTTTTCCTTATGTAATTGTCAAAATAAGATAATTTAGGATTTATCAGGTGAGGGGTAAATTAATAAATAAAATTTATTTTGTATTTTTAAATTAAAATTTATATAATATAGATTTTAATTTAAAAATGATATAAATTTTAATTTAAAAATACGTTTTTAAAATATTTTTATAATATTCTGTAGTTGATAGATTGAACTAGGCTGTATATTTTTAAAAGGTAGAAGAGGTGTATACTTAAAGAAAAATAGAAGAGATATTTTACTTAAAATTAAATTATATTATCACATTATGCCCAAAAAAAAAAAAGGAACACCATTGCCGTGCACCAATCTCCGAGCGCACGAAATAGCAAGTCGAAAACAGACTGCACCGTCTGTTTGTTGCCGCCACGCCACTTGAGTCACGATACGGCGATACCTGCTTCCCTAAAAAGGGCATGTGCCCTAGTGAATGCGAAAAAGGCTACGCAAACCCCAAACTTGCAGTAACAATTTCCACTCTGTTCATCATCCTTGACGTGCAAGGACGACATTGTCCTCGATTAAAAAACACAAACCCAGTCAAAGGACCTGCCGCAATAAAATCGAAGCCCGATTTTCACCGTCCCTTCCCTCTTCGGAAAAGCCTCCCTCCATCACCGAAACTTCGGCAGTGGGAGGAAACAAGCTGTAGGAAGCTTCAATTCTCACTGATCGAGGTTAGGACTTCACCATGTTCTCTACCTTTATGTCCTCTCTTCCTTTGACTCGATTCTAAATTCTTATTTTCTTTTTTTCCAATGTATTCCAAATAACCGTCTGCATCTTACAACACGGCTGGTTTTGTTCCGGCGCGCCCCTGAATGTTTGACCCGATGATCGGTTTAGTAAATTTTTGTGCCAATTCTTTTTTGGGGCCTTTTTATTTTTTTCGTGATTTTTTTTTGGTTTGTCAGAATGCTTTGAGGTATTCGATTGCTTCAAAGGATTCAATCTGTTGTCTCTTATGGGTGTATACTGATGATTGAGGTTTTTGCTTAATTCACTTTTGTTCCCCCAATAGACTTGTTATGCTATATGCATCCCTTGCTTGATTATTCAGGCATTGTGGAAAGAATGGCTTTGGGTCGAAGCTATCCTCTGCAACCCTCAGGGATAATTATATCTTCTGGATTTAAGTAGTTTATGGCTCCTGGGCTGTGCCAAATGCTCTCATCTGAGCCGTATTTTTAAGAGAGACTATAGTCCCCATTAATGGAATTTTTTCTTTGGTACTTCAAAACGCCCCTTAATTTCATTTTTTTTTTTTGTCTGATGAATTATTTGGACTTTTTGAACAGAATGTCAACATTCAATTATTATCAATGGATTCCATGTGTACATTTTCAGTTTTATCGAAGAAAATAGAAGTCGGGTCGTTTTTCTGATGTTTGATATTTAGTCATCAGTGTGATGGACGAATGCAATCATTTGATCTTGTGTACCTCCTTTGCATTTTCTGCAGTTATCTCTTTTATTTTATTGACACTTTGAGAATTATGTACTGTCACAGTTTCCGCGATGCATCGTGTGGGTAGCGTGGGAACCACAAACAATTCAAGTCGGTCTCGTAAAGAGAAGAGATTGACATATGTTTTGAGTGATTCTGATGACACAAAGGTGAATTCATTATTTCTTTTTCTTTTTTGTTGCACCCTAACATCTACATGTCATGGTTGTTTCTTGAATTTGCGCTGTTCACCATTCTAAGTTCAAATGAATTGTTTTACAAATGTGCCTCAAAGCTTGCCAAGTCCTTGGGGCTGATTAGGTTATTCGTAGAAGTAATATATGCACCTTTTTTTATAGGCACTTGATATTTCGCTTCATCAGGTGCTTTTTTATTCATCCCTAAAAAATTTTGGTCAGAAAGCCATTTGAGTTTTGTCCAAGTTGCTCTTTCCTTCTTTGTTTGAAATTTATTCCTTTTCTACAGCATTGTGCAGGCGTAAATTGTTTGGCTGTCCTCAAGTCTTCTGTCCCTAACAGGCCTGATTATCTCTTCACTGGGAGCCGTGATGGCACATTAAGACGATGGGCACTGGCTGAGGATGCTGCAACTTGCTCTGCTACGTTTGAGTCTCATGTTGATTGGGTAACTTCTTTATTTATTAAACTTCTCCTTGCTTCATTTGTTAGGTTGCAGATGGATTTGCTAGTCCTGAGAAGACATCATTGTTTAATTATTCATCTAATGGATTTTTGTGGAATGGGCAACTGAGAGATTTCATTTCAATTATTAATGTGCTTTTTTTAAAAAAATTAAAGTTAAATTAAATGTCCAACCTTAATTATGAGGTCCAAAATTGTGAGGTGGGGAAATTGTAACCTATGCAATGAACTAATATTTCTCATTGATGAGATTGTAACCTGTAATATGCGGAATAATGGACCTAGAAAAACTAGGCAGTGGGGGTGAATTTTGTGCCTAATGTAAAAATATTAGTAATTTATGGAAATATAATTTTATTTTTAAATATTTATTAAATTCATATGAAAAAATTGATTAAAATTAATTATTGAAAAAATATATTTTTTAATCAATATAATAGAAAATTGTACTTTTAAATATATATGTTTCAGAATTTAAAAAAATAGTAAATGATGAAACTTTTTTAGAGGGGGCAAGTGAATTTTTCCCGGGGCTTTTGTAATTTTCTCCTCATGAAAAGCATCTACATGTAATATTAGCTTTTTGTTGGTGGGAGCAAGTGCTCCTCATAGTGATGCATGCAGGTCCCTCCTTCATGTGGAGCTAAGTGATGCATGCTTATGATGGTTACTAAATTTCTTCAGTCTTCATTTGCAATGGAGGTGGAAAACTTCTGTATTGATATACAGTTATTATTTATTTTGCATTTTGTTACAAACATTCTTATTTGCTCTTTTTAACTATTGTTGATTTCTTTTCTTGGTATTATAATCTATAATAAGGAAAAACGTAAAGATTGGATTAGAACAAAACGGCATTTTACAGCCCCGAACTTCTCTTGTACTAAAAATTTAAATCACATTGAAATTTGATTTACTGTTGACACTTTGGGTGAGCCCAATTTGAGGCAAGTTTCGTAGGTACTGAATGCTTGAACTTCTCATGTGATCATCTTTTCATCATGTTGCTACTTCTTCTTTAAAAGAGCCAAAAATTTTGAAGTGTCTCTTGGCTAAGCTCACCTTGTCTAATTATACAATGTTACACAGAAATTTGTGCAACTAGTTTCTTGCGATGCAGCCAATCTTTCATGTTCAATTTTACACGTACATTGATGGGGAAGGGAAATGATGTTTTCATTCTCATGGAACATGAAATGCATCCTCAACTAGTAATTTATGCGTAAGTTGCCTGGAACATGATTAAGTTTATTTTGCTTCTGCAGGTGAATGATGCTGTTATCGTGGGTGATAGAACACTCGTTTCTTGTTCTTCAGATACAACCCTTAAGGCTTGTCAAACCTTAATTACTTCATTCTCTAAATTCTATTCTTCTTCCATGTTGCCATCAAATATTTTATTATTTTCACCGTTTTGTTTTTGTTTTTGTTTTTTTTTTGGGTCTTTCCTCTGGGGTTCCAGACATGGGATGCCTTATCTGATGGAGCTTGTACTAAGACTCTCAGCCAACACACTGATTATGTTACTTGCCTGGCGGCTGCAGGAAAAAATGTAATGTATCCAAACTTTGTGTGCCATGTCCAATTATTAAGTACATCAAAAGAGTAAGAAGGTTCACTTTTATGTTTTACATACTTCACGTCAAATCTGAAAGATAGCTTTTCTTATTGAATCTTATAGATAGTTTTGATTGAAAAAAAGTCTTTATCTTTGTCAAATTCATTTTGTAATCCTTTTGTAGTGTTGTGCATTTTAGGGCAATGTTGTTGCCTCTGGTGGCCTTGGTGGGGAGGTTTTTATTTGGAATCTTGAAACTTCAATTACCCCAATCTCAAAATTCCATGAAGCTATGGATGATGATTGTTCAAATGGTGTCAATGGCTCTGGGAACTCCCTAATAATGGCAGGCTTACATAACATCAGCTCTAGCAACAATATTTCCACGCCCACTAGTCAGTGTCAAGGGTATATTCCAATTGCTGCCAAAGGCCATAAAGAGTCTGTTTATGCATTAGCAATGAATGAAGGTGGAACACTTCTTGTCTCAGGCGGCACAGAAAAGGTACAACATGGCAGTAATTTTCACTTTTATGCTCTGGCTTGGTGAGGTCTCTTTTAAGTTATTGCCTTTGGAATTAAAAGCAGTGCTGCAGTGGTTTTCTTGAACCTACCAGGCTTAAATTTTATTAGCTAGTTTGCAGGGTATCATCTTTAACCCTAGGAATGTGCTTTATTTATGCTTTCCTTTTTCTTCTAGGTTGTTCGTGTTTGGGACCCAAGATCTGGATTAAAGACTATGAAGCTAAGGGGGCATACAGATAACATTAGGGCTCTACTTCTAGATTCTACTGGCAGGTTTGTTGGGTGGAAATTTAGGATCAAATTTGCAGCTGACATTAATAACTCAATGCTTATTTCCTTTCCCTTGCGTGACAAACATTCCTTCTACTGTTGAGACGTAGTCTTTACAAATGGTTGAGTTTGGACCTTGCTATTGTCTTTTTATTTGCATCTTAAAATTTCCCTCAATTTGTAGGTTCCTGCAAGATACAGATAACTATGACTTAAATGACTTCATATCCGTTAGGCAATGTGACAACAGATTGCTATTTGTGGTTCAATTATGCAGAAGAAAAATGAATAAATTTGCTCATCTTTGTCGTATGCATGATAACACTATTAATCTTCTTTCTTTCCGTATGAATTTTCCAATTAAAATTAATAGTTTTTACTGCTAGTCAAATGAGATGCTTCAATCATTAATCCTTGCAGGTTCTGTTTATCAGGATCATCTGATTCCATGATAAGGTATTTTTTTTTTTAATAATAAAGAAAAGCTTGGGTGAAGTTTGTGTATGATGTTATATAAGCACTTAAATTTAGTGTTGTATGGTTGACTAATCTTCCATCCCTCCTCATAGGCTTTGGGATCTAGGTCAGCAGCGATGTGTGCATTCATATGCTGTTCATACAGATTCTGTTTGGGCACTGGCCAGCAGCCCATCATTTAGTCATGTCTATAGTGGCGGGAGAGACCTTTCAGTGAGTGAAGTTATCATTTGAAAATAACATTGATATCAATTATTATTTTGACTTGACTTTACATGATATCTTCCTTCTTCTGTCTAACTTGCTAAGTTTATCTTTTCAATACCCTTTTTATTTGCAGTTATACTTGACAGACCTGCAAACAAGAGAGAGTCTTCTGCTTTGCACTGGCGAAGACCCTATTTTGCAATTGGCTTTGCATGATGATAGCATATGGGTTGCATCTACCGATTCTTCTGTACACAGATGGCCTGCTGAAGGACATCATCCTCAGAAGATTTTCCAAAGGGGCAATTCCTTTTTAGCTGGAAACTTGTCCTATACCCGGGCAAGGGTGTCCCTAGAAGGATCTGCTCCTGTATGCTACGTTCATTTCTTATAAGTTCATCTTTCCATTTATGGTTAATATTGCTTTATCTATGGAGTAGTATAGCGCTGGGGGAGCTCACTCATAGTGCCAGTTGCATAGTATGCACCTTGTGAGGAAGCACATTGTTTTCATATCCTGTGCTAGTTGGGATGATGGGATTTGTCTTCCAATGATTGGTTTAGGAGATTATTCTTAATTTAGTTCTCTGTACTGCGCACTAATGATTCTCAATTTTGTTGCCAAAATTTCCATCTCAATAGGCACCGTTTTATAAAAAACCAACCTTAACTATTGCTGGTACACCTGGAATAGTGACGCACGAAGTTCTCAACAATAGGAGACATGTTCTGACAAAGGTAATCTTGATGATTTCTGTACGTGTGCCAGATGATGCATGTATCTGTTGGTTTGTTATTTATTCTGCTGCTTAGTTACTACTGTTTCTGTCTGTAATCTTGTGAACTGATAGAGGGCTCTCTTAGCAGGATACTGCTGGTTCAGTGAAGCTGTGGGAGATTACAAAGGGTGTTGTGATCAAAGATTATGGAAAGGTGAGCATTATTTGGATTTTTCTCCATATCTAGTTGGAATGATGGGGCATCTTCTATGGAAATCTTGTCTTTTGGGGAAGGAGCTTATTCGTTTCTTGAATCTTATTTTCAAGTTTCAACTTTAGCTAACTCAATTTCTCATGCTTTAAATGTCAACTTTTTAGGTTCCGTTTGAGGAAATAAAGGAAGAGCTGTTTGAGATGGTATGATTACTTATTGACAACTTCATTATAATCATTTTCATTGTCACTGATGCTTCCCCCCCCCCCCCCCAAAGGCAAGATGAGGTCATAAACAATCTATAGAGCTTGTTAGTTCCGACTGATTTTTATTTTGTTTTCCACTGCCTTAGGTTAGCATTCCTGCATGGTTCACAGTGGATACCAGGCTTGGAAGTTTGTCAATCCATATGGACACTCCCCAATGCTTCTGTGCAGAGATGTATTCAGCAGACCTTAACATTGCCAGCAAGCCTGAAGATGATAAGGTAAGTGACCTTTGTTCATGATCAACTTACATGCCTATTTGTTAAGGTTGTTTTGTTTGTGAATTTTGCAAGAAAGCTGAGATTGCTGCAGCTTTTTTGTTGCCTTCTTTTTGTGGTAATATATATATATATATATATTGAGATAATGAAATTTTTGGTCCCTCAAGTTTGCCTCAAGTTATCAATTTGATCCCTAAAATTTAATTTTTATCAATCAAGTCCTTGAAGTTCAAAACTATACACAAATAGTTCCTTTGATTTGAACGGGAAATAATATCGTAAGGACTAGTTGTGTATGTTTATGAAACTTTAAACACATGATTGGTAAAGATTAAACTTCAAGGACTAAATCAATAACTGAGGTAAACTTGAGGGATCAAAAGTTTCATTCTCCCTTTCTTTTTTAACTCTCAGTCATGCTGTTGTTCCCTTTTCTTTTGGTCTTATTAATATGAATTACACTGCTTACCCTTATCCTGCATCAGTCACCTGTCCAAATGCTTAAGTTTTTTTTTTTAAATATAAATTTAGTTTTCAAAATTGTGGTATTTGTGCCCCAAATGCTTGTTTATTTATTATCTAAAAGAAAGTCTTAAAAAATGATTACTATATTTGTCAGAGTGAATATAAGAACTAAAAATGAGATACTTCTAAATTTTAAATTTTACTATAAAGATATTTTTGTGGAGCTGACTGCGGCTGAGTGTTATTTTGTGCTTTTAAAATATCCAGCAGTAGGTTTCGTTTATCCATTTGTTAAATGTATCCATATCTAAAGCATCCAATGGCATCGTGGAGAAGCTTACAATAATTTATCATTGAATATCTATAATTAATGTCATGTTTCAATAAATGTACTGAAATCAATTAAATGGGTCTAGTTATATTTCTGAAGGTTAATTTGGCTCGAGAAACCCTTAAAGGGCTCTTGGATCATTGGTTGGTGAGGCGAAAGCAAAGAATGGGATCTCATGCTAATGGGGAAATGGTATCTGGAAAGGATCCTAGTACAAGAAGTCTTATCCATTCAAGAATTGAGGTTGATTGCAGTACTGAGAATGATGCCATGGTTTATCCCCCATTTGGATTTTCAGTTGTTTCCCCTCCATCCATTATCACTGAGGGCACACATGGAGGTCCATGGAGGAAAAAAATTACTGATTTAAATGGAACTGAGGACGAGAAAGACTTACCCAGCTGGTGTTTGGACTGTGTATTGAATAATCGGTTACCTGCAAGAGAAAATACTAAGTAACTTCTTGTCTTCTCTGCATTTTTCTTTCTTTCTTTTCAAGACTTTCCCTGTTAGTGTCTGGACTATGTACCTGGTACCTTCCAGAGAAAATGCTGAATAACATTTTCGTTTTTTTTTTTTTAAGTGGTTGTGTTTTAACTAGGTCTGGGCTTCAATAAGGAAACCATGCTCATAAAATGTTCAAATTTAGTTGGCTGATGCTGCATAGAACCCATTTTCATGATCAATTTTTTAATAGCTCAAAGTTTTATTCAAATATATATTCTAGCTATTCGTTTTTGCAGTTTGCCCTTGTTTTCTCAATGGTAAGTTCAATCTAGAGAGTTAGATGGTGCAGCAACAGTCTCTGCAGCCAGTTTCTACTGCTGAATTTTTACAGTTTTTTTTTTCATTAATAGATTGAATTTATTATATTTTATTTTTCGTTGGAAAACCAAGTAAAGCATTTTTTTTTGGGGATTTGAGTTTATTACTTACAATGACAATCCTGTCATCCTGGAGTTTATGATTTCGAATGCTTAATACCAATTATACAATATTCCCTATTATAGATTCTATTGTAAAACCTATGCAGATGCAGTTTCTTCTTGCATCCGTGTGAAGGTTCCACCGCCCAGGTCCTTACACAAGGAAAACTAAGTGCTCCACGTATATTGAGAATTCACAAAGTAAGCAATGGTATTTCATAGTAATATTTTTAACAACGTAGTCCATACTAATTGGCAGTTTGGAAATAATTATTTATTAGAAGTCTTTCCCTCTATCCCATTACCAGAAATGGCTCTCTATATTTAATGAAATGTTTTGTAGGAAGAGAGCAATGTGATGCACCTTGATTTATGAAATGGGGAATTATTATTATTATTATTATTATTTTGGTGTCAAAGACACTGCCAGTAAATTGATAGGGGCTAGCCGCGGCAAGTTTCTATACTTGTGGAACTATTATGCTTTTCCGCCCCCCCCCCCTCAATAGTTGTGCTTGTCATATGTGATTGACAATGAGCATCAATCTTTAAAGAATATTTTCTCCTTTAAATTATAATGTTCTCCCGTTAGTTTTTTGTAAATGAATTGAGCCTTAATTTTGGCTATTTATTCAAAATTTTGCAAGTACTGAATAAATATGAAAGAAGATTAGATAGTAAAATTTTTTGTTTATACAGGCATCTGTTCAGAGGTCAATTGATAAAATTTTGATGGTTCGTTGATGACCTTGGGTTTTTGTCCTGTTTGTATATAGTTTCATTTACCGTGTATTTCGTTTATTATTGAAACATTTTAGATGGGAGAAATGTTGTAAGAGGAAAAACGACCTAACATCCTCATATTGGGGCTGAAGCAAAGGGGCAGGGAAGGCATGGAAGATTGATGAAATTATGTCATGTATTCTCAGTTTTTCTATTTTTTTAACGACCAGAAACCTCCTGGGGCTTATCTTTTGATCGAATCTGTACTCATCCTGACTTTCTTTCTGGTAGATGCTGTGTTAAAGTTAACTGCTCTTTCTTTTTGCCTGTTGTCTAGGTTATTAATTATGTAATAGAAAAGACTGTCCTTGACAAGCCATTGGATAGCATAAATGCCGAAGGTAGTTTGACTTCTGAACCTGCACTTGGGGATGGATCTTTTCGAGCTGGATTGAGTTCTTGGCCTAAGCTTAAACCTTCTATTGAAATATTGTGCAACAATCAGGCAAGTTCATATATTCTCTGGAATGCTGTCTCTTGACAGCCTAAGCTTAAACCTTCTATTGAAATATTGTGCAACAATCAGGCAAGTTCATATATTCTCTGGAATGCTGTCTCTTGACAGTATATATAATTACCATTGTCTTTGTCTAGATGCTAAAATTGAGCTAGTCTTGGCATGCCTCCTGAAATCTTTGCACTGCTACCTTGGTTTCCTCTTTTGTGTTTTCTGCAAGTGCAAGGCATCGATGTCATTTATTACACTTAGGGCCCGTTTGGTTATTAGGAAGATGATAATTGAACAAAATAAAGAAATAGATACAAAAATGAACTAAATTACCCTTCCGTTATGGTAAGTATGATAAAACTCAATGGCACATATCAGAAATGTGGGAATTGCCACATTCATAAATCATAACTCGCAATTCTATGAACTAAATTACCCTCTCCTCTCATAATCATAGTTGACCTATCTCCCCTCCACATTTGATCATTTTTCCCCCCCTTTATTTCTTTATTTCATTCCATTCTTATCTTTTCCAACAGCCAAACAACGGTCCCTTATCAAGTTGTGTTCTTGCTTTTGGTCTTTGTTTAAATTGCGAAGCTACCAATTTGACCTTCTTCTAGAGAACATGCTGTAAAATAGACTACAGAGTCTTGGTCATTAAGTTCAAATGTGGGTAAACCAAATACAGACCTGATTATTACAAAATTTAATTCTTGTGGACCTTGAAATTCTTGCCTCGATTTAAACAGCAACTTGTCCATCTATCATTATATAGGTTAACTTTACTGGATGCAGTAAGATGCTATAGGTTAACTCAATTTAAACAATCTCTCTGGAAATAATGTTATAATTCCTATTAGGAAAGTCAATTTCAGACCTCATATGCTTGTATAAGTGTATTCAATATAATAGATCGCAACTATTGAATTTCATCTGTAGTAAATCATTTTGCTACCTTCTTGGCTATTAGAAGTCTTGCCAAAGTTGAAGTTATGTCTCCTCATTGTTTTGACTTTTGATGACAATATTTGTTTACTTCTTCATATTGTTTGACCCCAATTTTACTGCAAATAGTCAGTTTGGTGTCGTTGACTGTATTCTTAGCTTGATGTTTTTGGTGTTATATTTCCAGGTGTTGTCTCCTGAAATGAGCTTAGCAACAGTGCGTGCTTATATATGGAAGAAAACAGATGATCTGATCCTTAATTACCGGGTGGTTCAAGGCAGGTGATAGCAGATTGTGCAAAAATGTGGGTATGACACCATGATCTTTGTTTTCTGGCAAAAACTAAGTTACAATTTCACCTGAATTAACCAAATACCCTTATGCGTTGGCCAAAAAAATTGTCATATATAATATGAAGTATTGTTCATGGATTTGATCCATAAGAAATAGCTACTTTTTAACTCTAGAATAAATTCTGTTCATGATTTCAATACAAAATACATAATATTAATATAAAAAGAAGCAATAGTGCAACTGTAAATCCTTCAAATTTGTCTCAATTACCAATTTGATCCCTCAATATCGATTTAGACTTTTAAGTTTGCCTTAATTATCGATTTGGTTTTTATTGGTTAAAAAAGAGATAATACTGTTAAAATTTGCTGACATGGATGATAAAATATTAATGATAGTCATATAGATTAATGAAAAGAAATGTGATTATTTAGTTAAGAGAAAAACAAATTCTGAAATTTTAAAAAACAAGAGAACAATTCATAAGGTTAGGGATTGTATTGATAAATTAAACTAATTTGAGATTCATTTATTCTCATTTAGCTACATATACATGTCAAATTATTAATATACTTTACAAATTAGATTTTGAGAGTCAGTTTGTGTTTTAAAATTTAAAGGACTTGTGATACAACAACAATGACAACAACAAGCTTCATCTCAATAGGTGGGGTTGGCTACATGGATTATATGACGTCATTGTGTTCTATCATTTATTAAGTTTTTAGAAAGATTATTAATTAAGAGGTCTCATTCAACAACCTTCAAAAGTGTTCTCTTCGGTCTTCCTCTACCCTTGTTGACAGGACTCAAAGTCATCTGTTTCACTCTCCTCACAGGTGCCTCCCATGGTCTTCTTTGTACATGTCCGAACCACTTCAAACGATTTTTTTTACCATTTTTCCTTTAGTAGCTGCTACGCCCATTTTTTCCTGAATTTGCTCATTTCGAATTTTATTTTTGCGTGTATATCTACACATCCATCTCAACATTCTCATTTCTGTTACTCCAATTTTATGCTTTTGTTGTCCCATGAAAGCTCAACATTCACTATCATATGATATTGCTAGTCTTTTAATAGTTTGATAAAACTTCTCTTTAAACTTATTAAGTACCTTATGATTGCAGGTAACTCTTTTAACCTTTCTCCAATTAAACCACCCCATTTGTATCCTATATGCAATATCTCTATCAATTTTCTCGTTTTGTTGAATAATCGCATCAAATATTTAAATTTTTTCACTTGAGGTATGGTTTAATCACCTAATTTCACTTCCAAATTATTACTCACTGATCCCTTATCAAAATTATAATATAGATATTTTGTTTCACTCCTATTCAAGTGAAAAAAACCTTTTGACTCTAATGTTTTCCTCCATATCTCAAATTTACAATTAGTCTCTTCTCTTGTCTTTGCAATAAGAATTGTATCATCCACAAAAAGCATACATTTAGGAATTTCCTCTTGAATATGCTCAATGAAAACATTTAAGACTAGAGCAAACAAATAAGGACTCAAAGATGATCTTTGATGTAGTTCACTCTTTATAAGAAAATTTTTTGTTTCGCCACCAAGCGTTCTTATACTAGTTATCACCCCCTCATACATGTTTGTATGGCTCGAATATAGGCAACCCGAATATCCTTCTTTTTCAATGCCTTTCAAAGTACTTGTCTCGATACACAAGCTAAACATGAGGTATTGAAAGTTTCATTGCTCTGGAAAACAAATATACTTTTACTACAAATGATTTTTAAGGTATTTTGGTTATCTGTCAACTTCTAGTGAGTTTTGTGCTTGCTTTCATCTCTTCATAACGAAGGGATGGATAGTGTAATTTGAGCAGTTCTCTGGCCGAGTAATTTATCTTTTCTTTTTCCAAGTGAATTAATGGTATTTATAATGTAATTCAGTAATTGATACGAGTAAAACTATCCGAATTGAGAAGGCTTCAGGGCCAATTTATTGGCTGGGCTGCTACAATGAATGGCATTGAGGTGATAAGCCTAAAATTTTCTCTCCCCAAAATTGGACAAAAATAATCTTACGGACTTTTGCTAATTTTGGAATGAAAAATTGTATTATGTCGCCTCAAAGCTGTTGACATATTATGTATTGACTCTTTTTTAATTGATAGTTTTCTGATCTTTGGTTTGCCATTTAATGAAATACTTCTTGTAATGCGCTGATTCTTAGGTGGGAAAAATATGCTGTTGATTTTTGTTGTCCCAGCAGGGTACGAACATTTTGTTGCTATAAAGTACTTGAGCACTGATTCTTTGGGAGTGCTTGTGTTGATCGGTGGTGTTATTTGTTGCGAATTCTGAAAATCTCATTGAGCACTGAGTCTACTGGCATTCTCCAAGCCTGCTTGGATAGATTTTCTTTATCGAAGAGTTTTGCGGCAAATTCCGTGGGGTTGCGCGCTTACACTGGACATGGCAGAGTAATGGGGTTCGCCTGGCAAGATAAAGATTTATTCTTTTTGACTCTGTTGAGAATCAATGGGGGATCATTCTGGCCTACTGTAATGTTTTCTAGGAATTAGATAGCCAATCAGTTTCGAGGTGATCGAAATCCTTGTACATTTGAATTGTGCCTTCAATATCTAGCTATAGAAACTCAGTTCTCTAGATGGATCTCCACGTTCATCGTTGTTACTGCTATTTTTTTGTATCTTGTAAATTGCAAATAATATTTTATTCCCATTGGTTTCAAGTGAGAAACTTTCATTCTATATTCTTTTTCACTGCCGCCCTTTTCTAAGCTCTTGTTCTTCTTCCGGTTCAATTTTATCCACTGCCGAAGTGTCAATCAGGATCCAAGTTAAGCCAGATGTATGTATTGGGTCTCCTGTCGTAGTTTTTACCAGCAGATTTTTATGCTTGTCATCATTTATGTATATACTGGCTGGATCAGGAAATGTTACATGAAAGGTTATACGGCAATAAATCCATTTGCGGAGTTGCTGCGAATGGTATTAATGATTTTATTTGTTCATTTTGCTTCGTTTTCATTATGGTGGAACGCCTGTTTACTCAATCCCGATGTTTCACTTCTGAGGATCAGGTCGGTTGGCCTATTTCCCAAAAGATGTGATTTGGAAAAATTTCATTCATGTCGTCGTTATCTCCATGTTCTGTTTCACCATCGTCTTATAAAATTAATCAATAAAAAAATTGCTCCAAATGAATTACAAGGATGTGGTCTAATTTTTTTTTTTTTTAAGGTTTTACAGTTTACGAAGTTTTATTTTTCACAGCAGATATTTTGCATTTGTTTTATTAAATCAGAGTGGATTTTAAAGCCAAAAAAGAAAAAAAATGAAGTGTTCATAGCAAGAGTTAGTAGTGAGAGAGTGTTGATATGTATAAAATTTAACTTATTGATTTGATTGAAAAATGTTGTTTTAAGAGTTAAATGGCAAAAATATCAATCAATTTTTTTTCTAGGAGCAGTCAATATCTTTAAATAAAGAAAAGTGTAATGACATTTATGAATTTGTTATAATGAATACAAGAGTTTTCATTTTGTTAAATTTGATTGACATTTGTTAATGTCGGTTGTTAAAAAAAAGAGAGAAGCAAACATGAGGTTAAAAAATATTTATAAACTTCATTTTTTAAAAGCTTTTGGTTTTCTAAAGTTAACAATAATGATGTATAGATACTTTTTAATTTTATAAAATAAGCCAGTCTTTTTCAATTAAGTTTTATTTTTAAAATTTTACAGTCAATATCAAGTTATTTTAACAGATTGAGAAAGATTAGAGCGTGGGACAAGTTTGATGGATAGCATAAATAAGCTTAAAAATTTTAAGACCAAACTTAATAGCTTATATATATATATATATATATATATTTTAACTTTAAGCTTATTTGGACCACCCTAATAAGGTCAAGTCATGTCTATAAAACTTATAAAATTTTCCATGCAACTTGTTTTCAAAATTATATGGCTGTAAAACTTCAAAAATTGTAAATCCTTTGAACTTTAAAATAAATCTGGTGAAGCATGACCAACTTACCTTGTTACGTGACCGAGTGCAAACCATGTCAGGCCTTTTTTTTTTTGACTAAAAGCAAACCATGCCCGTCTTTGAACCAAAGAAAAAGAGACAAGCTTGACCTATGTTCACAGTTTCTTTAGCTCATTTAATTGACGATGAGGAAGAAAGACCCACGTTTACAGTGCTTCCCCATGATTGGCGTGGTGAAAAAAACAAGTAACGTGGACCTGTGCTAACTGCTCAGTTTGAAAAACGAGTCATATTAAATGGGATGCCATTAAGATTCGGCAAATTTTCTCCCTGGCGTAATGGTCAGGCTATAAACGAGTACGATGCCATGCATCATATATAGCTACTTCGTGTTTGAAGTGTGGACTGGTTTGTTATTACAAGCTCCACGAGTATGTTGATTTGGGAGGTGGTGGACCTCGCTATTCCGGTGCTTCTACCCAAATTGCCATAATGGTTTTACTATCTTTAGGGAAAACCAACAAGAACAAAAGGGAGGGAGAAGATGCTAAATGACAGGGACAATGCAGAACAGAACCAGCGGGCTACGTCTGAAATTGACGACAATTTAAACTTGACCGATAGTAAATAGTATCGGGCTATTTATTCTTACGACTCTCCAGCTTTAAACCCCTGATAAACGGTGAAGATAGATATACTAATGTCATCGTGACTATTGGAGACGATCCTCTGTTTCTAGATATTGTGGGTGAATGGGAAAGGTATTCGGATCTGCATTTGGCGAACTCTGAATGGGAGACGAAAAAAGAAAAAAGATAAGAAAGCCCCACCAAAAAAGGTGACAAGGAAGAGATTTTCGTGATGGTGGAAGAAATGGCGATCGTTATCACTAAGTAGAAGAATATAATAGTTGAAAGGACCAAGTTTGGTGGATTAAAGGGCAAGAGGGGAGAATGAATTCATTCATACTCGTCTGCGGAGAATCACAGATGGAAGCATCACCTTTGGTTGCCATATTCCACCACTCCAACGTCCTCTCACGCTTTTATGGATTCTTCCCTACTTTGTTCTCTGGACATTGGACTCCAACATCAACGGAGGAGCCCTTGCAGGCCCACAACCCAAGCATGCAACTTATGGACGGAATTCGATTCTATAGTTTTGTCATCGTGAGAACATGAACAGAATCCATATCCTTGAAGATTTCACATAAAGTTGTTAGCATACGGTTCTCTAAGGCAACGTTTGGACGCTGGAGGCAGGGGAGAAACAGAGTTGGAAGGTCAAGTCTTTTTTCTATATAAGGGGAAGTCGTGAGATGTTTTAGATTGAAAGAGCTCCAAAATATTAAGAGGGTAAGGTGTACGCTAGAGAAGCCATGGAAGGGTATGGTTATTCGCACCAGAACTACTCCACCTACAAGACAGACGAACCCAATGGTCCTGCAATAAGAAAGCCCTTTGTTCCTTTTGTCCCCAACCCCAACCGTGACCCAGACGGCCATGTGACCAGAAAAAGAGTCGTACCAGTGGCTACCAGGCCATATGGTGATCACTACTACACACATGGCTCTCCAACGAACGGTTATTCCATCAGAGACGACGGTGATTATTTGCAGAGGCAAAAAGTCGACGACTCCCTGATCCACGTCCATAATGAAGGTAGTGGTGGCCGATCCTCTGCACTTGGCAGTCCCGTTCAAAACGACAACTATTATAGGCACGGTGGCTATGAAAACTATGACACCTACAACGACAAAGAACGACGCAAGCCGATCGCAATCTACACTCCGAACGACAACTACCATAGGCATCAGCCTGCAGACACCTACAGTCCCTTCGAACCGCACAGAAACTCTGCCGATGGTTGGTCCAGGCCTGTTTCAGGTTGGACCCCACCACCTAGAAATGGGACCCAACTGAGCGAGCCAACCAGTGACGTCGGCAAGGCCTTGGGGCTATTGAAGGAAGCTGCAAAGGTATCATCCACCGCCTATGGTGGGGCCGATAGGGCGAACCCGTCGATATGGGCCGAGCGGCCCGGTAACGGCGGTTATCATAATCGTGAGCCGGGTAAGGTGGAAAAGGCCACGGGGCTGGCAAGGGAAGCTGAGAGGCTCAAGTCTCTGAAGAATAAGCTCCTAGGTGAGCCAAAGAAGCAGCACAAGCACGAGGATGACTACTACTACGGAGAACCCGTGGACGCCACGGACGCTGCAAGGCGGTATGGAAACTTCAACCTTAAATCACGATCACGCACTTCACCACCCACTTTTTTTTTAATAATAGAAAATATTGACAGGAGGGACGATCAAAGGCGCTATGGAAACACCATCGACGACTGGCAGGCTCAGAAGAAGTACAACGGAGCCCGCTTCTGATGACCAAATCCGTGCATGCAGCTATGAGTTTATTGATTATCACTAAACATTTAATACTGCTTGTCACTATAAACTTCCAGTAAGTTGTCTAGTATTTCTTGTGTGCATGTAATGACCCAGATCCAGTCTCTTGTATTTGGATGTGTACACGAGAATTTATTTAAGTTGTCTTAGGTTTATGTGTTTTTCTTTTTTTTTTTTTTTTTTGAGTGGAAAGGCAAGCCTGAGGCTTGGAGAAAAGTACAATAAACCAAGTAATGTTTAAGCTATCCTCACGCAACATTGAGTGCAAATTAGATAGTATTACATATAGGAATTCAACTGTTGTATCAGTCTGATGACTATATTTTGTCAAATAATCAACACATTGCAACACTTCTCGATAAGCATGATGGATCTCCACCTCTCTCTTGCTATAAATGAGTTCTGGTATATCATTGATATCAGTCCTTCAAGAATGATCCACTATATAGTCTCTTCGGTTTATCTGTTTGTTTCCATCTGTTTGTTTCTTTCTGTTTTGCCACCTCGGTGCATGCATGTAACCGGCTGATCTGACAGAGGAAAGCTGTTTAAACTATGAATCAAAGCCAGCCTCCGGCATCAGTGATTCTATGAGACTGTGGTGGGCGTGGGCCATCTCAATAAATAAATTATCATCACTTTTTGTATGTCAAAACATCTATATATGCTACATATCTTCTTTAACTGATGGGAGATTTTTTTTTTTCCTCGAATGGTAAATGTCCTGTCAAGTTAATTATATGTGTGTTAGTGGAAGTATTAATTGCTGTCAACCAAAGAATACGCAACCCGAATTCTTGGGCTTTCCGCACATAATAAAACTAACCTTGCCGGAACGGAGGAGGAATATATCTGTGGATGAAAAATCAATCCATGCGATCGGGAACGTAATAACAAGAGACGGACAAGGAATCCCACATAATAATTTCAATACACGCACGTATTACGTATATATGACGAAATGAAACCCGATGTCTTTAAAACTTGGAAGGTCTAAACTTATTTTCTTAGCGGCTAGCACCGAAAAGAGCCAACTTAATAATAGTGAAAAAACATGGAAGGTCTTAACTTTCCTTTTCCTTTTTACGAAAAAAAAATAGTGAAAAATATATTTTTTTCGTAGCTATGCCTATGAAATAGCTCGGGCTGTTTCATGCTATCAACCCCTTGGTGATCCCAAAATCTGTTCGGGAAACTTGTGGCTGTGTACTAGTAGTGGATACGTTGGAGGTGTCACAACCAAAAGGCATATTCTTTCGTACGTCTCAAAACTTGACTCCTACTGGCAACGAGGGTTACATAACATAAGCTTTCAAAATGTCGTTTTCTGCTGTGGATTCGACAACCCAAATATTAAAGTACGTAGGACGGACCATGGGGACACTTCAAGCAGGAATATTCACTCTCAAATGGCCGGAGATGTTAAAAATGCAGTCACTCACTACTTGGAAGCTTGCCAAGATATAACGCGCTTCGCGCAGGAACCAGTATATATGAAAGGAAATTTGCTCTCTGTGCATGTAGATGTTTCTGTGTGCGTTTGAAGTTTTTGATGAAAGAGGTGGGTTTGCCTTTGACACGGGTTTTTTGATGAATATGCTTAAAACGGCATGGTAACTTGGAAAGCTTAGTGTGCATGTAAGAGGGCAAATTAAAGGCGACTCAGGGCCGACTCAGTGCTCACGAAGTTGAGGATGATGATATGTGATTATGTTCTGCTGGGCTGTTTTGATTCTTAACGATGTTGAAGGGCCAACTGCTTGCGGCGTTTCAGCTGGTTAAATATGGACTCTTGTTTGACGTCAGGTCGGTGACAGTTTCTCCTGTCGTTCAAGACACCTGTTTAAACAGAAAACGTTATTTGAAATAGATTATCTTGCTGGTTCTTGGCTTTATTTTTTGGTCGGTTTCTTTCGGGGTCTCTTGATTTCTTGGTTCTAGTGTAATTTCTTTTTCCAAGCTTCTTGCTTGCCTTCTGTACTCCAAACCAAAAAAAGGAAAAGAAGTAGATTATCAAATGAGTGAGCAACCTAGCATTAGAAGTAGGAGATTTTTTAAAATGATTATAATATTTTATAATTAACATTCACATTTATTTATTTTTTTTAAAAGGTATATAGAAAGAATTATTTACTTTTTGCAAATGCATTGTCTCCAAACCTCTGATTTGCCTAAACATTACACAACCATATATTCGAATATGTTACTGATTTGAACGGGACAAGCATGTAATGTCACGGGCATTCAATATCGCTAAACAAATTGCGAAGATTTTCAACAATCTCTTTATGTGCTGGACGAATGGACTCCAAGGATCCTTGCCAAATATACATAGCCAAAGTTCTGTTGGAATTAAATTTTTTACGACCTTGCTCCCCTGAAAATGTTGCCAGCTCATTGAATAATTTGGCGCCATGGTTTGGATCAATGATGGATCAAATTTGGTAATATAATTTAAGATAAATGAATAAAAATATTCATCAAGTAGTCGTCAAAAATATTCAATAACTTAAAATGAGAGAAAAATAAAAATTACATATAATGTTATTAAATTTAACGTAAAAGTGATCAAATTGTTAACTTGACCAAACATCTATTAGTTTTTAATGTTAACAATTTGATCATTTTTGTACTAAATTTAGTAATGCTATATATATTTTTACATTTTTTTATTTTAAATTATTGAATATTTTTGGCCGATCTTTATAAGTATTTTTATTCATTTATTTTATAATTTATGAATAAACTAAATACTATAATTTAAATAAATTGCGCACAGAAACTAACAGAAAACGACAAATTACAGCCTTGGATGATTCTAAAACCTTGGATGTGCCAATAAAGTGACTGAAAAAATAACATGACTTACAGTTACATCACTTAAAAAAAAAAATTGCAATTCAACAAAAACAAGCCCCGTCAAAAACAGGCTCAACAACATATGATTTGATCAAATTAGCTACATTTGAAGTCGGCAAAAAATAAAATTAGCTGTATTTGAAAGTAAGACCTGATTAAACGAGTTACATAAATGAAGCGAAAAAGCTTGAAGAGAACAAGAAGCAAAGTTTTCCCTTAACGCAAACGAGGAGATGGGGAAAAAAAATGGCCCTAGAGATTCTGAAGATCATTAATATATATAATTACCCGTGCCTTTGGAGACAGTAAGTAATGAAATGCCCGTTAATTTAGCTAATAAGAATGCACATGATTGTGGCCTGCAAAAGGAGAGATTTGGGGCTTTGACTTTTTGAGAAAACGGGAAGATCTGACCCTCTCTCTGTATGACTGCTACTTCCCTAGTCTCGGACCGAGAAAAGACGGCAAAAGGCCAAACAGTACAAGGACCAGACAGAGCTCCCAAGTACTCTCTCTATTAAGCGACAACAATCCCGCCCAACACTGACTCTGTTTCAATTGCTGTAAGGCTTCCATCTTTGATACGGCATAATCTTTTTATTTTTATTTTTTTGTTGCCTTTTTCTTTCTAAAATTCCTTATCCAAAAATCTTTCATTTTCACTTTCCTTCTATCAATTCAGATCACTCTCGCACCAACTGAATCTTGCTTCCTTTGACTCAATCCTAAATTCCTCGGTTCTTCGTCTGCTTCGTGGCTCCTTAACCTTTAAACCTTGAGAGTTTACTTTCCGATTTCGAACTCTGCTAATCACATGATGCATCTTTAAGGATAAAGTAAATAAGTATCTGTCTACTTTTTTGTGCTTGCGTTTCTGACTGGATTGTGGCGATCTTATTCATAATTGCAAGAAGCCAGTAGATAGACCATGTCAAGAAATGACGCTTAGATTCAAGAAATGGGGTGTGTGATTAGTCGAGAAGTATCGTCGGGAATAATCTCTGAGGTGAAAGAGGAGAAGAATTTGAGTAGCGAGTCGACGAGGAAGTTAGATGAAACGTCGTCTCAGCACGAGGTAGCGGCTCAGAACGGTGGCAAACAAAAGGAAGAGAAGGGTGGTGGTGATGAAGGGATCCAGGCCCAACGGCCAAGGGGCGAAAGAAGAAGATCAAAGCCAAACCCAAGGCTGAGCAATCCTCCCAAACATGTGCGAGGAGAGCAAGTAGCAGCTGGATGGCCGCCCTGGCTTACGGCTGTTTGTGGTGAAGCGCTTAGTGGGTGGATTCCCCGAAAGGCTGACACATTTGAGAAAATTGATAAGGTAGGCTAGTTTTCACCTTTTATTAGTACGACTATGTTATTGTCGAAACTCAGTATGTATGACTGATCAATTTGTGCAACCTTATGTGCTTTGAATTATTGCTCTTCTCATACTCTCCTTCTTTTAATGATTTTCCTTTCTTACTAGATTGGCCAAGGAACGTATAGCAATGTGTACAAGGCTAAAGATATGTTGACGGGTAAAATTGTTGCTCTTAAGAAGGTTCGATTCGACAATTTGGAGCCTGAGAGTGTAAAGTTCATGGCCAGAGAGATTCTTGTTCTCAGAAGATTGGATCATCCCAATGTAGTAAAGTTGGAAGGTTTAGTTACATCAAGGATGTCATGTAGTTTGTATCTGGTATTTGATTACATGGTGCATGATTTGGCTGGTCTTGCTGCGAGCCCAGGAATCAAGTTCACAGAGCCTCAGGTTAGATCAGGTTTGCCTTAAAATTTTTGAGATGCTGGATATTGGTTAGTATGCATTCTTTTGAAGTGGTGACACTTGATGTTTTACAATACTGCGTGGCTCTTCAGGTCAAATGTTACATGCACCAACTACTCTCTGGACTTGAGCACTGTCATAAGCGGCACATACTTCACCGTGATATTAAAGGATCAAATCTTCTTATTGACGATGGAGGAGTGCTTAAGATTGCTGACTTTGGACTGGCTTCTTTCTTTGATCCAAACCACAAACACCCCATGACTAGTCGTGTGGTTACACTTTGGTACCGGCCTCCTGAGTTGCTGCTTGGTGCCACGGACTATGGTATGGGTATTGACCTTTGGAGTGCAGGTTGTATTTTAGGGGAGTTATTGGCTGGGAAGCCAATAATGCCCGGTCGTACTGAGGTAATTCAGAAACCTTTTTGTCATATTGGAAGTAAGACCATTGCTAATTCGCAATGTTTATTATTTCTTTATCAAATAATTTCTGTAATCTGATTTAGTAGTGAATTAACCTTAAATCAAGTCATGCACCCTCTTAATGTAGAGGGTAATCAGCATTCATTTATGAAGAACATATGTACTATTGATGAAGGGAATAGAAAAATTTCTTCATCTTCAGTTGTTTAATTAGGGGATGTGGACCAATAACTAGCAAATTGCATGATAATGTAACGTCTACTAAATCTCTGATTATTTAAGTGTTACTTCAGGTTTTTTGATGCTAAATCACTTTGTTTAGCAGTATCGCATATCTTGTGCTCCACTCTAATCGACCTTGCATAGTTTGTTGAAATATTTATTGCATTAAAGGCACATCAGTATCTGCATTCTATTTGCTTGTTAATAGGTATTGGTATTGGCATTATATTTTCAGTGCATCATGGAAAAATGTGTAATGATTTTATCAACCAAAAAAACATGTGATGGTCATTTTTTCATATCCTCGTTGATCCTTTCTTGAATACTTGCTTAGGTAGAGCAACTGCATAAGATATACAAACTATGCGGTTCACCTTCTGATGAGTATTGGAAGAAGTCGAAATTGCCTCATGCTACCTTATTTAAACCTCGAGAGCCATACAAGAGATGCATTAGAGAGACATTTAAAGATTTTCCACCTTCTGCACTGCCCCTTATTGATACTCTTCTTGCTATTGATCCAACAGAACGGAAGACGGCCTCAAATGCTTTAAAAAGTGAGGTGGGTTGATCCTCTTGTTAATAAAAAGCTGGTATGGAATTCTCTGAATTTGTACTGCCTTGCCGATATTGTGTTTTCAGCCACATACAAAAGAAATTTGAATAGTTGTTCCTGGTTCATCTGGGGGAAAAGAGGATAATTTACTCTGCCCTCCTAGAGATGTCTAACTTACAAGGCCCTCCCTCTGTTTCAAAAAATACTCTTCCCTCCCTTGAATAAAAAAATTTGCGGCACTGACCTTTTGGCCAAAATAACCTACAATTACATTACATCCATTGTGACCAAAATACTTTTATATTATTTATATAAATACAATGGGTGATTAATATGTATTTGACCAATTTTAAAAATAGTCAATGTTTTAAATGCGCAATGAATGAAATTTATGGTTTTTAATAAAAGAATTGGAATAAAAGTTTGAAAAATATTTTTCTGACAAGTCAGATTTTTAAACGTCTCTCCAGGAGGAAAAGTAATTTATCCCAAAAAAGTTTGCAAAAAAAAAAAATGTTATTTACAAATTTTTAAGAAAATGAGTAATTTACAAACATGTGCTTGAATGTTAAAAACGTGACAATAGAGAATAATCAATTCAAATCATGTTGTCTCAAAGAGAGAAGTTATTTAATTCTGTATCTGCCCTATGCTTTCAATTTTTAAGCTATGGCTACGTTAAAGTGTGGATTCCATGTTGAATAGGATTACCAAATTCTACCTGATATTAATGCAGTGGGGGTGCTTGGATTCCCATTGAAGTGAATTTGTTTTGTTGTGTATTCATTGGGGGAAGAAGCTGATATAGCACCTACACAAAATAGTGAAGTGTCTCGAATCTGGCTTAGATATTGTCCTTGATGAGTTCACTTCATTTTGCTTGTTTTCCCTATTGTCTTGCAGTTCTTCACAACCGAACCATTTGCTTGTGATCCTTCTAGTCTTCCAAAATATCCCCCAAGCAAGGAAATGGATGCTAAACGACGGGATGATGAAGCCAGGAGGTATTCATGCTCTTACATTTGATTTCTTCATATGGTTTACTACACTTTTCTAATGGTATAAGCTTATGACTGTGCACGTTAGTTAAGTTGGTAAGTGGATAAAGGGGCGCTCACTTTGTCTTACACTCATCCACACCCATCCATTAATGCCGGGAATTTATAGAATCAGTTTTCAGATAGTGTACTTATTTCCTGGGTCAATATCTGCTAGCGATAATGTAGTCATTGTATTATGTTTTACCAACTCTTGAATGAATCTTTGATATGGATGTTCAGATTAAGAGCTGCAAGCAAAGCTCAGGTTGATGGTGCGAAGAAACCACGAACACGTGAACGTACTAAAGCATTTCCTGCTCCTGAAGCCAATGCCGAGCTTCAGTCTAATATTGATGTATGTTCTTACAAGTACTTGCTTTCCCCAATTGCGTGTTTGATGCTTTTATTATGTAGTCAATTCATAGGCAGAATCTGTGAAGATTATATCGTCCAGGAACGCATAATTAAGTGTCTGAAACTAAGTAGGGAAAAATGCTAGGATTTGGAAACTCTGCTGACGTTTCTCATAAAGGATTGTTTCTGGACTGAGCAATGATGATGATTTTAACATTAGGCTGTTAAACTTTTTGCTCAACTGTCTTAAGAAATACAAGTAAGACTAGATAATAAAGTTATACTTTTTGTGTTCTCTGCAAGTGGCTCTGGCTGCCTATCTTTCTTCTCTTGTAACTTGTCAATTCTGTTGATTCTGGATTTTTTTTTTTTTTTGTCATGATTAATAATTCTGAGCGCGTACGAGAGTGTGGCTGTTGTGCCATCTTTCATAAGTAAATTTTAAAAAAATATATATCTGCGTGCTTATGAATATCTGCTGATCAAATTTGTTATGGTTCTGCATAACAGAGAAGGCGTCTAATCAGTCACGCGAATGCCAAGAGCAAGAGTGAAAAGTTTCCTCCGCCACATCAGGATGGACAGCTTGGGTATCCTTTGGGAGCTTCGCATCATATAGATCCAGACATTGTTCCTCCTGATGTTGCCTTTAGTTCTACTTCTTTTACTTATTCAAAGGACCCATTCCAAGCTTGGTCAGGTCCCATAGGTAATACTGCCGCCATTGACGCACGAAAGAAGAAGAAGAAACACTCTGCAGCTGATACATTGGATTTACCTAAACCACAGAGAGTTTCCCCCAAGGATAAGGTTAAAGGAAAGAAAATCAGAGCCTAGCTATATACCCCATTCATTCATATAGAGATAATATATCCAAGAAATTCCCCTGCCTCTGCCACATCATTTGATTCACGGAGTCCAACTGCTATGGAAGTCTTTCTTTTAGCTGCCTGCTTGCTGGTCTACCTCCCGAGTGTGAAGTACATTGCTTGGTTAAAGTGCAAGGGTTATTTTTTAAAAAAACAAAAAACAAATCTTTTTGTGATCTCAATTACTTTTTTCTAAATTTTTTATCTATTGGTTTCTACAAGGATACATGATATTTTTGTGCCCGATTTGTTCTCATGATTAAAGAGTTTACTCAACAATGTATATTGTGATTTTATTTCCATGTTTTTTGAGATCCTTGTGTTAATATCTGGAATCTTACTATTTTAAAAAAAAAAATTGTAATAAATTTTCGAGCTGTTGTTATGTCCCTGGTTCCTGAGAGTGAGAAATATTTATATAGCTCCTAAGTGTGCCTCAAATGAAGAGAGAGATTTATGTAGTTTCCATGTTGAAAATGGTTTCTAGCGGTCGCGAATTAGAGATTTATTCTCATAAATTATAATATGCTGATACCAACTTGTTGCTTTAAGATGTGTTATCTCTTTATAAATTAAAATTTAAACAAGGGCATATTGAAATCTAGATAATTTGTATTAGAAAGTTAAACGGCACATTTGGCTTTGAATTTATTGCCTTTGGGTGCCGTGTGTTACAGTTACTTTGACATTAATTTTGATTGATAAAAGTTGAGTTGTAATATATATGAATTTTGTTCGAGGTACACGCTTGCCGATCCTTGACTATTTAATTTCATTCTAATCCATGTAGATGAGATTTGAACAAATTCGGGGAATTTTTTTTCTATTTTTTTATTTTTTTTTTTTGTTGGTGCTGGTTTGAATGGTAGATTGCATCAGAAGAGCAGTTGAGGAAAGAGGCTGTGAACACGCAGATAAATAGATGCTTGTGGGCTAAGCGAGACTCTCTGGACATTCTATAAATTCCGAACTGAGAAACCATCTCTCACGTTGTGCTTCATATCTCCTTTGCGGGGATACGTTGCACGTCTACGCTCGGCTGCTCCTGTGATTTCTCTCCGCACAGCGAGGGATCAATAGCAATGGGACCCGGTGGTCCAGGTCCAGGACCCGGAGGCCCGCCTGGATGGGGGCCACCCCCACCAGGCCCAGGGTTTTTCGGTGGGTTTTGCGACGTTATTGGTTCTTGGTGAGTAGATTCTACTGGCTCGTATATGTTTTTTTTTTTTTTTAACTTCTGTTACCACAAAATCTACCATTTGATTGTTAAATGTAGTCGGCCTAAAGATGGTTAGACAAAGAAAAAGTTGAAACTTGGGTGGGCTATTCTCTCTAATAACAACCCAGAAGAAGAAAACAGACAGAAAAAAAATACGTTTCTTGTCTTTTTCTTTTCCATGATTATTCGTTTTCCCTTGTTTCTGTTTATCATCCAAGTGCTAATTCTGATGGTGTATTTGACAGCCTGAGCTTTTTGTGCTGCTGCTGGTTGCTACGAGACTGCTTTGGAGGTCCGTTCGGGCCACCAGGGCCTCCTGGACCTCCCGGTCCACCTGGGCCTCCATAAGTGTCTGTTTTTTTCCGCCTCCGTTTCCTTAAACTGGCTCTGTGATTTGCAGTAATAATAGTGAGGGCTCTACCTCCTTCATTTCCCTCATTTCCCTCGGTTTGTAATGATTTTCCTGTTCTACAGAGAATGATAAGATGGAATGATACGATTATTTAAAATAGTGTCCACTCTTCGCTTGTCTCTTTTTTCAATGAATGATGCAAGGACGGTGACGCTATCCACCAATCCCAGGCACCCGGGGCCAGTATTACTTGATGGCAATGGTTCCTTTCTTTATCGGGAAAACAATAAAATTTAAGTCCACGAAGGTCATTTGGAACAAATTAAATCCATCCAACTTAACATCAATAAAGTTTTAGATACGACGCAAAAGAAATTTGATATTATTAAATATGACAAAAATTATATCAACTCAAAAATAAATAGTTACTCCTATTAAAAAATATAAGGTATTTTTAACTGAATCTCACCTTTCAATAAAGTTTTTTTTTTTACTTTCAAAGTAACTCTATCTTTTCATATTTACTTCTATTAACTACCTTATAACAAATATAAAGTCACCATCAATAGAAATACTTTTTAAAAAAAAAACAATGATTACATCTTGAAAGACTAAAAATGCCTTATATTTTTTTAATATTCAACTACTCAAAAAATGCCTTACATTTTTAAACATAGAGAGCATCTTTTTTATAATTTTTAAAATATCAAGTATTATATACTCTCTCTGTTTAAAAATATAAGGCATTTTTTGAAGAGTTAAATGTTAAAAAATGTAAAGCATTTTTAGTCTTCGAAGTGTAATCATTGCCTTTTTTTTAAAAGTACCCCTATTGATAATGACTTTATATTTATTATAGGGTATTTAATAGGGTAAAATATGGAAAGATAAGGTTAATTAAAAAGTAAATAACTACCTTATTGAAGGTGAAATTCGATTAAAAATGTCTTAGATTTTTAAATGAAGAGAGTAGATCATTGCTGCTGTTTCCTTAACCGTCAATCAAGATTGATGTTATAATGATATATTAAATTTTTTTCAAAAATTTTAGTAGTCTATTCTAAAAAAATATATAGTAAGAAGATTATTTTTGCATTTGCTTATGTAATGCTTCTTATTAAAAAAAATACTCTTGATAAAAAAAACAAAGAAATAATAAAACTTTTAGTTCTTTAAGCTTGTTTCAGTTAACTAGTCTCTTAAATTTAATTTTTATTAATTTGATTCTTTTATACTTTTTTAAATTATTGTGAAAGTTCTTTAAGTTTTAAAACACAAATTAATAATCCAAATAATCTAATATATAAAGTAAATTGATGATTTAACATGTATATATAGTTAAATAAAAATAAATTAACCCTTGGATGAGTTTAATTTTTATGCATCTAATCACTTACAATATGTTTTATTTTCTTATTTTTTTAAAAAATTAAAAGTTTGATGTTTTTATCTAAATAATTATTTTTTTTATTAATTTGCATGACTACCATAAATATTCTATTATCCAAGTTAATAAATTTTAATAATATAATATTTTTTTTAAGTAATAAGGATCAAATCAATAATCAAAATAAATTTCAAGGACTATATTGAGAGATCAAATTAACAATTAAGACAAACTTAAGCTATTAAAAATTGCATTCTCCCAAAAAAAAAAGAAAAAATGATAATGAAATATTTTTGAGTTATATAAATAACAATAAGATCTCTTAAAATGTCATAATTTTACTAAAGTTTTTAGAGACTTTTATGTTAATAAATTTTAAATTGAAAAGACAGTTTACCTTTATTGATAAATTGTAATTTCTTATTCAATTCTTACAATTTTTAAATAAAAGTTATAATTGAGGCTTGTTATTAAGAACTTATTTTTGAATAATAGAAATTACACTTGACAAGTTGTGACTTCTTGTTTAACTCTTGTGATTTACAAAATAAAAGTTGTTATTCTTTAAACAAAGTTATAATTGAAACTTGTTATTTTAATAACTTATTTTTTTAATAATAGAAATTATACTTGATAAGTTGTGATTTCTCATTTAACTCTTACCATTTATAAAATAAAATTCATTTTTTTAAGTAAAAGTTGTTATTCTCATTGATTATTTTTAATAAGTGTAAAATAATTTTTTAATTTAAAATTTATTAGCACAAAAATTCATAAAAATTTTAATAAAATTATAACATTTTGAGATATCAATTTATCATTTATATAATTTAAAAAACTTTATTATTATTTTTGAAAGAGAAATGTAAATCAAAATTTAATCTCTCCCATCCAGATCTCGGCCAAAGGAGGGAAAACAAAAAAATACGTCCCATCCAAATTTGCTGCTGCAAAGGCGCAAAGGACATAAATGAGAGCAATAGGAATCCTACGCAAGGTGAAAAATGCTACTTGAAAGTGAAATGGAAATAAGTTATGATTTAAACACGACGAATTAATCATTGTTGAAATGACGGATAAGGCAGCTAAATCCTTCGTGAAAATTTCTCATAAACCTAGTGATCGAAACTCGTTATTTCATTCTCTTGGCAATTGGCGCACCAAATGAAAGACCCCCCAGCTCATTGAAAACTGTTGCTTTCACAAAAAGAAGGAAAAAAACCCTCAATTTTTTTTTTTCTTTTCTGAAGAAGAGGGTGGGGGGGCATGAGAAAGTAGGAATTTGAACTGTTAGCATAGCATTAAATAGGGCAATGGCGCTCCAAAGGCTGAACTTTAGGTTGGAAGAATGGTAGGTGATGATGAGAAGAGCAGAACGTCAAAAGGATAAGACGGTTCACTTACTAGTCAAAAGGGGTCCAAGAAGCTTCACGAATTCTTAGGGATTAAGTTAATGAGAGTGTATATTATATATAAGGCATGGGAACAGGCCAGCTGGGTTCACAGAGAAAGAAGAAACGGGAAAGCTAAGCGACTGAGAGAGAGAGAGAGAAATGCCGCCACCTTGGGGTCCACCGCCACCAGGCCCGCCGGGACCATTCGGATGCTTCGGCGCGCTGTGTAATGGCATCTGCCGGCTGTGTTCTTCTTGGTGAGTTGAAATTTTCTTTGGAAGACTAAATCATTCAGTGATAGGGTTAGTGGCAGGTAAAGATGGATGGATGATAATGCTTTGAACTCGAATGTGTTTCGCAGTTTATATATTGTGTGCTGCTGCTGCCTCTTCGAGAGCTGCTGCGGACCATTGTTCGGTGGACCTCCTCCTCCTCCCGGACCCCCTTTCTGACACCTGCGCTCCTCTTCTTCTCTTTGCTGAATATCAACGCCCCTCCTTCCACCCTCCATTTGTAATTTGTCTTATTTCAGTTGCTCTGCCGTCCGACTCCATTGTGGATCTTTTCTTCCTAATACTATTTTATATTCCCGCAGTTGCTATCCCGAATGAGCCAAACTTTAATTGGCAGGACAATGATAACAAACTCGTATATCGCTCTTGGCTCTTGTCCAACACGTGTAGAATGGATTTGTGAGACCTCTCAACCCCCCAAAAAAAAAAAAACATTACTGCTACTTTGTAATCTTCAGCTTTCAGTCAAAATGGTTTTAGTTCTACTTTATTCGGTTTCACAAGCCTGAGAAATTGCAACTGAAATCAAGTGGGTTTGCTGGTTGTGAATTGAAGTGTCATTCTGGAGTTTCAAGGATTTTTTTTTATTTAATAAAGAAGGTTTACAGAATTCTTGGTCTAAATCATCGCCTAAGAATTTTTGAGACTACTCCGACGTCAATATTTACAGTAACTAACTTAAAAACTATTTATCTTGTATAGAATGAATGCACTCTAAATCATTGCCTTGTCAGTCTTATAAGGACTAGAAATCCTCTCATGCACGACTGGCGTGTTTATTAATTATATTCTTGTTTTTTTTTTTTTTGAGAAGCAAATTATTGCACCAACCAGTAGGCTTATCAAGTGTAAAATAATAATTTTAATTCCAGAAATTTTAATGAACCAAACCAAGGTGCAAGGACTTTTAATATTCAAGTATTTCCTTATTTATCTGAAATCACAGTCATTATTATCTCGGTATTTTCAATTAAAATAAATTGCAACTGGAAAGAAAGGACTGAAAGGGACAAACGGAGGCATTAGCTACCTTCTGGGCCATGTAATGCTATTGCCTTCACCACAGTCCATGTCTGATTTATTACAATACACGCAAAGTTTTTTTTTTTTTAAAAAAAGTACTCCCTCCAAACCAACTTACAATGAAAGTTGTATCAAAACACACGACCAAAAAAAAAAATTTACAACAGTGATAATTAAATTATAATTTATTTCTTATAGATGGATCCAGAGATAGTATTACAGCTACTTCCCTACCTCCAAGAAACAAAGGTAAGACCTAACATGCAATTCCATATGCCTTTAAACGGTCATGGCATTGAGATACCTTAATTTGAGATTTTGAATTATATTCTATCTACATTGAATTTTGAATGTCGTATAACTGGCTGAGACCATTCTTATAACCAAATTTATAACGTATAACTACTACCGCTGTGGATAAAACTAACAAATCAGAGACGTATAAATTTGAGAACCTATGCTATGACCAATGTGACGTTTAGATTTCAATATATCTCTTCAAATATCATACAGAAATATATCTAAGTTATTATGAATTCCAATTCCAGGGTGGATAAGCACAAATTCACCTCTAGCGCCGGGATGTTGGATAAATGTTCCATGTTCACAAACAAAACGTCATCGAAAAGCCATGCCCAAACTAGACTACGCCTTCTGGCTTTCTACTCTTCATCATCGTCTTCTTCTGGAGCCTCTCGTAACCACTGGACCAAAACAAAACAAAAAAAATGGATATTTCATTTAAAAAATAAAAAGTAAACCTAACCACAGGCTATGAGCACGTAGTTAAAATAATGATATTAACTTGAATAAATGTCTGGGCCTGCTTCACAAAAACTTTATCTGTCTCGTCTGCCTCTCTCTTCTCGTCTTCCCAACTTAAAACGGCATCTTCTTGTATGATATCTTTGTCATACATAATACTCAAAATCTGTTTAAAGAATAGAACGTAAGATGTTATAACAGAGGAGAACAAAACAGAGGAACAATAGTATGGTGAGAGCATGTCAAACAATTAACTTCAATTATATTACATGTACAGCAGAGACAAGAGGCTAGAATTAAGAACATTCTCAAATCCCAAAATCTCGCGCCAACAAAACAGCTAGACAAATACCCATGCAAAAGTATGAAATTCCAGATCCTTTCCTTAAGTATTAAATCCATCTCAGCATATTATTAACACGACAGGATTTGGAAAGTATGGCAGTGCAAAATTGTAATATTAAATGACTTTTTTTCCCCTAACACAGCTTTTATAAATTACGATTCATGAAACCAAAGTAAATTGAAAAGGTTATACACGTCACTACCAAAGTTCAGAGAACCATTGTTTTCTTTTCTGGCGTGCATCCAGAGACACATCCAAACTTAAGAAGGATAACCCAGGCAACCAAAAAAAAAAAAAAAAAACTCAAGGATAACCATACCTTTGTGAACAATGGAGCATATTCTTTAGCAGATTCCAGGCACATTTCTTCAAACTTCAGTATCACTTCAATCTGAAGTAAAAATAAACAATTGGCCGATGACAAAGCACAAGGGCATCTGACACGTAACTGTAGCATTCTGAACAACCGAAGCTATTGATATCTTAAAACGGATTGATGGAGAAGTATTGGAATTCAGAGCAAAAGAAAACACTGACACATGGTTTTTTATTGACCTAGAAAATACTTATGACAGGCGCAAAGAGATTTGCTTTGGAAAGCACTAGAAAAGTATGTTCATGCAGCTTATAGTAAAGCCATAAAAGGACATGTCCGAGGGGACAACAACTAACGTTAGAATGTCTTTAATCGAGTTATAGCCACCGACAAAAAAGTCTCTCATTGGACAATGATTAAAACAGACACGAAAACTGCAAACTCTTCAATACAGCTTGGGACCATATTTATTTAAAACAAGGGAGAAAAATAACCTGCTCATCAATGTCAGCAAGGTAGGACATCAGAAGTTTTTTCCATGCTGTTAGTATACTGTCAACGTTCTGAACCAAGCTACCTGGACACAGAACATAAAAACAACTAACTTTTAATTATAGACTATTAGGCATGGTCATTCTCCTGCACAAAGTCCATAAAAGTAACATCAACTACTAAAACACCATCAATCGAGTCACTATCCATTCATTGAACCTAAAAGGGGGGGCAAAAATCACATAGGTATCACTCATGGGACTGGAGAGAAACATGTCAGCTTATTCTTCCATATTTCAAAATGCAAAACTTATCAGCTTATAATTATGCAGATTCCGTTATTTGGTGTCTACAACAAGATAAGATGGCATGTTTTCTAAGGATAGTAATTATAAATCTACACGAATTATTTATCAAGAAAGTAATGACTTGTTAAATTAATTGGAAAATATTTATTAAAAAAAGGAATAGCAAAAGAGAACTTACCAGCTGAACTATGGGGGATATCCAAAGCGTGTTTCATCATGGCATGGAAGATAGCTCCAGCACAATCTGCTGCTAACTTATTGTATGACAACCTGCAATGCCAAGAAAGCTAACAGCAATAATGCAAACTGAACTTGATAGCAAAACATTATAAAAGGGGAAAAAATCCAAGCATATGTTGTAGAACCAAGGTGCAACAGTCACGCATATATTTTACAGATTTAAAGAATCAAAGTCTGGTTGTATGGCATAGTATATGCACACTTCCCCATCTTTCTTTAAGGGTAATTCAAAACTATTAGACCTTCTCCTTTGTTTAGCATTCATGCACAACTTGAAGGACTACTTCAGTTCTACAATCTACATGTGGTTCAAGAATAATGTATGTATGTATGTATGTATGTATGTATAAAACATACTTCAGAGGCTCATAAATAAATAAAAAAAAACATACTTCAGAGAGTTAACTTCTAAAATCACATGGTCTTCTTTTATGTTCTCATGCACAGCCCTGAGAAAAGTTGCTTCAACCTGTAGTTCCAATAAATCACTTAAAATGGGGTATCTGCAAAATGATTGAATTGCAAGCACATGTTAACAGGTCAAATCCCACCTCTTTCTCAAAGTATGAGTCATCTCTGGAATATTCAATGTCATCAATATCTGATTCATTAGAATCAGGTTTCAGCTCTCCAGAAGGTGGAAGAATACTGCCATCATGAGCCAAATCCAGGTCATTTTCCAAAATTTCCATTGCCTCAGAAATTTTATCTGCAGGAATAGGAGCCACTGAATGCCTCCACTCTTCTTCAAGGCCTCCATCACATTTTGACCAAACATAACCGGTCCCACCCACACCTAACTGATCAGAAAAAGAACATGTGGATAAAAAACATTAAATCCAAATCTCTGACAAAACCTAAAATTTCAACCACAGCTGCAGGATTTGTGGCTATAAATTGCAGATGGTGCTGATTTGCAGTAGTGGAAAAATAAGATTTTCCAATTCACTAATTAAAATTAATCTGATGACAAAATTAGTTGTTAGGAAAGCATTGAGCACTAATGTGTTGAAAATATAGATTAAGACGTTCAAAATTAACTCTCAAGCAGATCCTCAGACCTAATTCATCAAATATTCTAATAACACATTAAGATAACGGCATGCATCTAAGCTAAATCTTCACCCGCCAAAAATAAGTTGACATACTTAACACAATTGATGGAAGCAGTATATCAAAAAATCTTTAGGAACCAACCTCTGAAGCAGAAGAGGATTGTGTCTCCAATACCTGCGATGCAGCCTCTGCACCATACTCATCCACTAAGCTATTCATTGCTGCATACAAATAACTAATGCTGAAGTAAAAATGCAATTAGAAAGTAGAGAATAATATGATTAAGATTTGTCAAGAATTTTTTGAGATGAAAATGATTGACCTAGAAGTTAATCTAGTTAATCTGTCAAAAAGCTGAATTGTTCAACCCCACAAGAAATATAGAAATCAATATTTCTTGAACAGTCATCAATGCAATGATGCCCGTGCTTTATAGAGAAGAATAGACATTAAATGAAATGGCACTTAAATTTAGATCTTTAAAATATAAATCCAAGGCTAAGGAAGATTCATTGTAGAATAATGCATCAGCGTTCCAAAAAATTTCTTGACTCCCATAATCAGAAGGTTGAAACAAAAATATAATTCTCAGGAAAGAAAGTAGAAATCTCTATGCCATTGCCTTTAACTAAAAAATTTTCCCACTCATTTTTGCTCATTCCAGGCAAAATTCCAGTCACCAATAATGTCATATTTTCTATTGCCTCTTGATTATTCAGTCGAAGTGGACTAAAAAATAAAAGAACACCTCCATTGACTATAAAGGCAACTTCAAAGCAACCTAATGTCCAAGGAGACTACCAGTTCTCATAAGCACCTCAGCCACCATTTCCTCTAACGTCACATGTCCAGATTCGATGCTCAGTAAGGGTGTGCACCAAGTGCTCATCACTAAAACAGCACCATTATCCTGATCATGGCGCTATCTGAGCCATTCAGCTAAAATCAAATCCTGGCCATTTGTTATTTCAATCAAAATCCCAGTCATTTGTTATTCCCATTGTTTCCTTCTTTTTCCCAAATCTTCTCCCATTTTTTAGTTTGTTCTGCTATATGCAAAAATTCACAACAGCATCATTTCTGCAGAGAGCACCTGGTGCTTATCACAGCCACTAAACATGGAATGTCAATGCCTAACATCATATGTTTTACACTAAATCTTATTAATGTACATTTTCAGGAACAAGTATAAGACTAATACTACCTAGGCACACTAGCTATTTAAAACGAGATACTAAATTATTACTTCGCACTAGTATCTCAATTACAGATTTCATGCCATGCAATTATAATAGGATTAATAACTACAAAGGTGAAAAATCACACTAGGAAGTCAGAAATTTCATGAAAAGTTAAAATACCACCAGTGCTGTCAGCATATTCCAGCTCTTCATCACTATCTTCCTCAATTGGCTGCTGAAATAAAGATACTTTTGAGTATGAAGGAACGACAAACTTCGGCCCAATCACAACCTGGAAGTATAAAATTCCTGAAACCATCAACAGTTGTATAATTGACTTGACAAAAAAAGAATCCTCTATAATCCCATGTAGGAATTACTGGCTAAAGGAATCAATAAATAGGAAATCGAATTTTATATATCTTCAACAAACTACGGACATGGAAAAATGAAATTATCTCTGAATTTTAATATATTTATTAAAAGGGAGAATCACATTCAAGGACCACTCAAGCAAATCATTTATCTCATTCGAGAAAAAACAAGTCATGTTCCCATTTTAATAATAATCCATTTTATATTGGTCCTTATTTGTGAATAATTTCCTTGAATGGTCCTTAGGTGTGATTCTCCCTATATTTAATGTCTAGCAAGTATACAAATAAAGTGCATAATAATGCTGCAAAATTAAGGGCTTTGGTTATAAACTTATCCTGATTGTGAGTAAAGTATGGGTAAGAGGATACTGTGGTCACCATCCTGAAACCCATATTTAACTTGTCAGAAATTCCCCATCCCCTTTGAATTGCCAGACCCTGCTTTATTTAGCAGCCTTTAATGCATGGCTGTGGTGTTCCTCAATGCGTTTTCCCGGACTAAGAAGGCAAGCTAAGCTTGATCAAAAGAAAAGAAAAGAAAAAATAAACTGCACATAGAACATTCTAGCCTTGTCCTCCTGCAACAAATTTCTGTAATCTGATAGAGCTTCTGACATCAAGATAGTATCAAAACCAACTGCATGGGCTTTTCTCCTAATGCTTTGTTTATTTTTGTTTGTTTACTAAACTCTTAAAAACTAATAGCTTATAGAATCTTTTAAAGGTAGAAGCAATATTTTATCCTATTCTCTTACATATTAAAGGTCAGGTTGGAGTTTTCAGGTTGATTGTTATAGTTTTCTAATTTATTTACATTTTTGGGCTGAGGCTTATATGATGATTGCTTCAAATTAGCAGGGCACCTAAGGTGCATGCCATTTTCACAAGGGAAAAGGCGTAAAAGGCATTCAAAGCAGCACCTCTCATGATGCAAGAGGTGCTGGGCTCGGATGGCAACTCACCTCAAGCCCCCGACCTAATGTTGTGGAACCTCAAGCATCAAATAAATCTTTATTCTGGCAATGCATAACAGTTTATAAACCAGCCCAGACACGTGAGAAACTGGAAGGGCAAGAGACTGGCTGCTCAAATTTGGTATAGATTGCTCAAAGATGCTAACCTTGAAAGATAAAACCGCACCAGGTTCCAGAACAGCCCCTGACTTGATAGTCACCCCATCACATACAATGGCATGCCTAAGTTTACAACCATCTTCAATGGTGACATTGTCCCATATATAGGATCCCTCTATCTGAACATTTGAGCCAATTGTACATCCTTCTCCAATAACCGAATTTGAAATTTTAGTGTTATCCCTGATTTTGGTGCCAAATCCTATGACTGTAAATGGGCCAACAACTGCTGAATGTGATTGTGATATTTCTGAAAAGGGAGAAAAGAAATCATCAAATCACAAGGGCAACTGTTTGAGAAAATAAGTACAACGAATTAATAAAATAAGGAAAGTTGGAGTAAAATTCACAAGTTAAAAAGTCAAAACCAACAATCTTGATCACATCTACAATACCACCAGTACATCATGCGGTGTTGACACAGCTTCCAATGTATCTAAATCTATTCTGCTCAACCAAATCTGATTCCATGTTAACCATAATAAATTTAACCACACATTGTTTAAGTCAACTACGCATGATATGAAAGTACTCATATCTTAGGCGGTCAACATGAATCCAGCTAATGATTTGAACTTAAAAAGACTAAAGTGGCTAATGCTCAAGGAGGTATCAATACTACTAACATATTATCATGTCCATAACCATTAATTAACACCGGTATCACCAATCAAAAGATGAACACACTTCCACACTCTATTATCATGTCATAACATAATTAGCCTGCATAATCGCAATGCAAAGTACAAATGTAACACATAAACTCTCATCCTTCACCTGATGCACGGTACATTCCCTGTCGTTCAAGTTTTGTGGCAGAATTGCCAAAAAACTTCACATCTGGCACCAATGGATATGTCCATCTATGAATGATGTCCTTGCTGACAGTGTCATAACTGCGGAAATTATCAATCCTTGCTGCGTAACTTGAGTGAATCTCATGAGTGAATATCTTGTATCCCATAATCTGAAATGCATATACAGTTATCTTATAAGGGATGTGCTATAGAATGCAAAACCAAGAGCATATGGGCCAAAGAAGAAAATACAAAAATTTGCAAAAGTCAGCTAGTACAACAAATGTGATAGATGACTGACAATATGATAAATAATTCGGATGCATTTTTCATACCAACATCAAGAAATCCAGGGAAATCCAGCACAACATGATTTAAATATATGAAGGTTTAAAATTAAAAAAAAATGAAGATAATCAATGTTCTAAGATATTGATATATTTCACATGTGTGAGGCAGATTTATAACCCCCTCCCTCTCCTGCTGCTACAGCATTGCTCACACCTATTTCTTTAATAATATTAATATGGAAGCATATCTCTTTCAGTAGTCATTCAAAAAGTGAGCGAAGCTAAAACAAATTTTCATTTCAGATAACTTTCACAACCAAAACAAGTTATTAACATTTTGTCATATATATGTAATTGTGTAAAGTTTTGTAAACTTATCCAACAAGCCTCAGACCGAGAAACTGAGGTTTTCTAAGCACAAGAGATCTGTACATAATGTTCATCAAACCATTCAAAAATAAAGATACCATTAATAACAATAGCATCCTCAAAAGAACTATTGAAGTTGCATATGTGATTATAGCAACATAGCTCATGTCTTCCATTAAAGTAAGAACTTCATAGAGATAACTAGGCATGCAAGCACTAGGAGTTAGGACATGCAAGCACTAGGAGTTAGGAACAGGAAATACTATTAATCTAAATTAGAGAGACATTAAATAAAATGACCTAAACAAGAACAAGAAAGGGAAAATACATCATCAACAAGCAATCCCTTAACAAAATGACGCCGCAAATGTTGATAGTCAAAATTGTCTGTAAATAGGCTAAGAACCTCCGGTGAGCAGATGTCAATGTAACAATCCTGCAGAAAAGGCATTGTTCATCTCAGGAATAATTATTAGTTAAAACACAGTCCATGGATTTATTTCCGAAGTACAGATGAAGAATTGATTAAAAATAAATGCATAACATCCATAAATAGTATATTTGCATTATTTTGGATAACGCAACAAATGAGATAAAAAGTCGTCAATGGTAAAAAAAAAAAATGCAGCATTTTCTGCAATATTTTGTTCATTGTCATGACAAAAAGTAAAAGATGTTTTTGAATGGTTTTTTATGGATTAGTGCCAGAACTTCAATTGCTCTTTCAGTAAATCTCATGATAAACCATAAATATATTGACCTGCTTGTCATGGTGCAGAGAGATTGAAGGATTGTCAAGAAGCAAGGACTTATCGAGATGCAAAATCCCTCTGGAATAGTCTGCCTTGTCCTCATAATACAAAAGTTGCTTGGTAGAGGGATCAATGGCCATAAAGAGTTCATCAGTACCAAGTCGAGATTGATGAGTGGCCGGATGAGGTTTTGATCGTTTAATGACCATGGTCATTATTGCGTCGTTATCTTTCTTTCTTCTTTCCTTGTGCTCTTGAAGAGCCTGAGTGAGTGACATGTTGCTTACCGTATCTCCACTGATCAAGATAAAATCTCCATGTATCTTGAAAACATCAAAACATGTTAAAAAAAAAATGCTACTCTGTTAAACTGGGTCAATACGTCAACAAACACTTATGAACTGAATCAAATAATAACAACAGCAATAATAATAATAATAATAATTAATCTGAACTGGCAAGTAAGTTTCTGAACTTCTGATTATCCTTCGATTATATACAAAACTGAGCATGCGGAAACACTCTCGAGCGATGCCAATTAGAATGTAGGAAAGGATATAAAGAGAAGGCGCACCACATTGCGCTCATATATTAGACGCAAAGCATCTCCAGCACTAACGGAATGATGCGACTCTATCATTGAGACGGTAAAATTTGGTTGGGAGAGCCACTCAGATTTCTTCAAATAGGAAGTCACTTGCTTGGAATGAGCACAACAGAAAACAAAAACCTCTTCGACACCAGCAGATTCAAGCCACGCCAATGTGTAATTTATCATGGGAACATTTACAAGTGGTAATAGAACCTATGGAGAAAAGGAACAAACCGCCAAGTTAGATTACGAACACTTCAGCAAGCATCCAGAAGTCCAATCAAGAGAAGAAAGTACTTTGGGACGTTCAAGGGTGATAGGTCTGAACTTGGTAGTAAAACTATCAGCCAAGAGGATTGCTTGCAAAGGGACGCGAGCCAAATCCTCGGCCTCCTCCGAAGCCTTAACCCCACTTTTCTTAGGTGCACCCATCTTCTTCTTCCACCTTTTCCTCAAAGCCACTCACAATGAAATTTCAGGAGAAGTCAGCAGCAACAAGAACAAAAAAAATAAACCCCAAAGGAATTGATAGGTCCAGTGGCGGGGTGCCGCTGCTGGGGAGTGATTCCTGAACACGTAACGCTCTTGATTTTCTCGCGCGGGGCAGGGATTGCGAGTTTCCATTTTTCTCGTTGTTGTTTTGGGCTATATCGTTTAGTGGGCTTTATCTGAACGGATCCATTCCTTTCCTTTCCTGGCCTAAATAGCAGGACCTCCGTTATGCCACTTACGGCCTTCCCTGACCTATTAATTAATTAGTCATTAGTCATTTATATTCCATTATTAGGCCTGCTCATATCTTGTATCCACACTATCAATCCTCTTTGTTATAATCCATCTATCTGTTTCTTCTTCAAATCTTGTAAAACCCAGCTTGATTCAAGAAATAGTCAGGTCTAATAATTATTTGGAAAAACATAACTTTGGATCCATATACTTTGCTCACATTTTATTATTGATCTCTATTTTTTTTTAATGTTTTAAGTTACTACATTTTTATTTTTCAATACCTTAGGTCCCTTTATAAACAAAGTGTTGGGACCTTAGAGGGACCTAGAACACCAAAAAAATTCAAGGACCAATAACAAAACGCAAACAGAATGCAGCAACCCAAAGTTATGTTTTTCCTAATTATTTTTAGTGCTTTGACTCAATTAGTAATTCTTTAGATGTTTAATGATTTGCATTTCTTTTATTTTTTCTTATGTAGATATTTTTGTCATGTGCTTGTGTCATATATGATATGTTTTTATCATGACATGCCATACTGGCTATAGGTATAGTGTTGTCACAACAAATTAATACTAGATCTATACTTTCATTTCTAAACCCATAATGTTCCAAAAATCTCTTTAGTCATGTAGCCTCTTGTACCATCACAGTAGATGTTACAAACTCAGCTTCCATAAAATGTAGGACAATGCATATCTGTTTCTTACTGCTCCAGCAAATAGCTCTATTATTAAGCAAGAAAGTATAACCTGAAACCGACCTTTGTTCATTTTCATCTCCACTCAAATCTGCATCATAGTATCCTATCAAGTGCAAATCACTCCTTTAATAAAACAATACATAGTCAAAAGTGCATCAAAAGCGCCCTTCAAATACCTTGAGATCCCCTCACATCCTTCTAATATTCCTCGTCAAGGTTGAGCTGGTGGCAACTCACAAGTCCTGCCGCATAACATATATCTAGTCTTGTACACATCATTACAAACATTAAACTTCTAACTCCATTGGAATATGGAATTCTTTCCATCTTCTTTCTAGTTGTATAACATCCTAAAAATCTATTTGCATGTTAGTCAAATTAATTAAGGATAATTAAGTAAGAATTAGTGTGGTGTGTGGACAAAGAGGTCGGGTCACTCGGACCTCAAAATGGGAGAAAAATAAGGGAAAGTGGCTCGGTAGCACGTGCACAAGGTGCTGCAACGCACGAGCCACATAATGTGAAAGAAACCCTCTATGTGCCATATACTGCGACACATAGGAACATGTATTGTGGCGCACGAACAAAATTTGACAATAATAAGTTGCAAAAATAGACTGAAAATTTACTAAATCATCATCTCGAAAAGTTACCATCATTGCTTTACTCTCAATCTGGAAGCATCTTTTAGATATACTCTCTATTACTTTTTCAAAGTAGGGTCTCTTGTGAATTTTAATTCTATTTAGATCTTCTCGTATAGATTTCAGAGCTCCCACTTAAATCAGCATATTGCAATGATATAGGCCTATCAATTTGTTATATATTATGTTGCTCTCGTGTCTTATAAAGAGATGCAGTACAGTCAACTTCTTCCTTGCTAAGAAATTCATTTTCTAAAAATATGGCATCCCTAGATTCAATTTTAATTACTATTCTATCATTGTTTTCAACAATAAAAATATAACCCTTTGATTGCTCAGAGTATCTTATAAAGATACATTCTTTTCCTCCTAGACCTAATTTTTTTTATTTTTGTAGAAATCATCATGGACACATGTAGCTAACTCCTATTTTCATTTCATCCATAATTTATAAGGTATGAAAATGGCTAGTTTTAAGGGCACATGATTAAGTGTGAAAATTGCAGTTAGTAAAGCATCCTCTTAATACAAGATTGGAATATTCACTCGTGCTACCATAGACTTAACATTTCTTCTTTCAGTAACTCCATTCTATTATGGAGTGCTAGGAATAGTTAATTATCTAATTATTTCTTTTTCTTCATGGAGCACTTTAAATTAATCAAACAAGTATTCACAACCTTAATCAGTTCACAGGAGCTTTGGATTTTTGACCTCATTAATTTATTGTCTAAAACACTAAAGAGCTTCAGATTTTGTAGATATCAAATAGGTACAACCAAAATATGAAAAGTCATTAATAAAGGTAATAAAATACTGAGCTCCGTATTGTTCCTTTATACTCATAAAACCACATATATCATAATGGATTAATCACAATGGATTTTTTAGCCTTAACACCTTTACCGAAAAGTTTTCTAATTGATTTTTGGTCTTATGTTTGCAACTGGACCCAACATTCATTCTTTAGTTAGTTTAATTATTCTATTTTGATTATTATATCTTAGTCTAATATGCCAGATATTCATATTATCATCATTGGAGGGGGAGTAAAGCAATCATGAGAATAAATATCGTTAATAATATCCATAATAAAAGCCTTCTTAGAAAGAAAAACACACCCATAAAAAGTTGAATTATATGTATGTCAGCAACCTTATCATAAAAATTAAAAAAAGCCCATAATCTAAAAGGCAATAAATAGAAATTAAGTTTCATTGGATATACAATGCATATAAAACATCATGGAGAATTGAGATTTAGCCACCTCGCAAAATTAACTTACAAGTTCTAATACCTTTGACCTAAATTCTTGTGTCGTTATCAACGTAAAGCCACTTACTTTAATTTAGCAACAACCAATTGTACTCTATAAAGGATCCACAATCCCTCCTTACATTGTCTACAAAGCCCAAGTATACAATCTAAGATGAGAAAATAGTTTCTGTTTGAAAAATATTATTGAAGACATATGAAAAAGTTGAAATCACATAATCTATGAGTACTTGATCACATCCATTTTGTCCAAGATAATCTTTTACAAAATAGCTCATTTTTTGATAGGCAAAGCATTTGGCCTTGTTTATGTCAATTATATTCTTTCTACCCTTCTTTCCCTTTTTTCTTGAAAGGTTGCTTGTCATTTTTCACCTTAATGCCATTATTGTTACCCTTCTTTTATTGCTTCTTGCCCCTCTTGGGCTTAGCATTTGACAGAATATCTTCCTCGATAAGGTAAGCCTGTCCAAATGACTTGTAATCCTTTAGACACTTGTCCTTTAGCTCCAAGTGCTTTGCCACATCGTTAAAAATAACAATGTTTTTTTTATGGGTTAGGTTAACTTTCATATGTTCCTAGCTAGTTAGGAGTGATTTGATTACAACTTATATTTGTTGTTCATTAGGCAAATTATGCCAGGCTTCCTTAAGCTCTCAGATCATGTTGCCCATCTCTCCAAGGCGTCATTATATAAGAGTATTTAGTTTCAACTTCTAAGTGCCAAGCTTAATAGTCAGCCTTTCAAACTTCATAGTTTAGGTACCCTCAAATTTCTCTTTTAAGGCAGCCCACATGGCCTGAGTTGTTGAGTGCTTTTTAAATTTGTAAATTAGATCATCAACCATAACATTTAGGCTCAGCCATGATTATAGTCAGTGGCTTGATAGCATCTTATTCTTTCAAAATGCACGACACATTGCGATGCCATATGTCTCAATTATTTCCATTTAACGTGTTACCTTTGTTAAGTTCAACGATACTATTTTTAGTTGCCATTTAGTTTTGATACAAAATTACCCCCTATTAATGGTCTTATATATTAAAGCAAGAACAAAGTATTATGAGGAATATACAATGTCTTGTATTTTATTATTTTTTACTAGAGTAACAATAATACTGTTAAGTAAGCAACTATGAGGCTACGTTTGTATCCCTCCTATCACATTAACTCTAATAATATCACCATTGTCTATACAAAATTTTGCAAATATTTTCACAATCATAATATTAACTCTTAAATGACTCATTACTTAAGGGCTCTCACTCAAACAAAGCATTTAAATCAATAATAGCCAATCAATATGAAAAATAAAATGCTTTATATTTACAAGAGCAAAAAGTCTTTATACAATATAACATAAAAAACATAAAGTATGGTAAAACACAATATTTAAAAACACATTATGTTATTAAGACTCGAATCTAAAAAAGATATTTAATTATATCTTTATATATTTTTTGCACTCTCGCCCCCTTAATAGCGCTTTTTCATAGGGGATTTTTCGAGGAGGACTTGCTTTGTTTCATAAGTTCTCTCCCGAGTTGTTTGAAAATGCTTCTCATAATTGGGGCTTTTTTTTATTATGAAGCTTGAATATTTTCTTTGGACAAGGAAATGTGATCTATATTCTTAATTCTTTTATCATTTCTTTTAGTCATGTTTTTTTATCATGAAGGGTGTAAATAGTTGTTCCACTGCTTCATCTTTATATTGAAGATCTTTAGCACCCTTTAATTCATATTTTTGTTCCGACATCATACACACTCTTTTGGGCCCTTCTGGCACATTTTTAAGATTTTCATCAGGATTAAAATTTTTACCTAAAGACTCATAATTTGGCTCATTTAGATATTCAATACTAGTGGAATAATTTTTTGAGTTTTTATTGCTGCTTGAAGCCTTTTGCTCATATTTTCCTAAAAGAAAGATGAAAATAATTTTTAAGAATTTTTAAAATGTTAAAACTTATAAAATGCATTGAAAACTAAAAAAGTAAATTCAACGTTTGCCTCAATATAAACAAATTTATAGATTTTTTAAGATAAATCATCTCTCAATTAGAGGTCAAAGGCAACCTTACGCACCCTAAGAAGATGACTGGATCAAAAAATCTAGCAATCACCACTCTCAAAGGTGGTGCTATATGCATTATCTTCCCAACCTCTATAGGCAACACACACCACTCCCTTGTATTGCATGCACCAATTGGGCGTCTTTATAGGCCCCACGCTTCACGTGTTGTTTTTT